GGGAATCGGTAGTTACCAATTCCGATATCCGGAATAGGAAGGTCTCCTATGTAACTAGCGGTCACATACGGTTGACATATCTCATCAAATGCTGGCTGAGTACTCACTGAACCAGGCCCTGAGTGCCCTCACTAAAGCGGCGACACCCAGAAGAGGAAATTCTTAGTTGTGCTAGAAATTCCGGTACGTATAGGTACATACATATACAAGGACGTAAAACAGATAATACAAAATGACAAGTCCCATAGATTCTAAAAGACAACCAAAAACGAACAAGTCATCGACATGAACAATTCAAGCCTAATGTATCAGTAAAAGGGCAAAGAGATAACCGTGCTCATCCATCTCTCAGCGTAAAACTATAATCCCATGCCGGATCATTGACGGCTGCCGGGCTCAATGCCTGGTCGGGATCTAACCAGGGAGGCTGGTCGGAGCCGGTCGTGCACCCACCGCATTCTTGATCCGTATCATCGCTGTCTTGGTATCTGTCAAAACAGAAATTGAAGTTGGTCATGGATGCGGCCGGGGATGGGTTGAGACCGTCGGTTCCTCCTGGGTCGATACAGGAGTGGTCATAGACCGTTAGATGTTTGCTCGGTGAGACCGGCGTGGGTGTGGCCGATTCCGAGGGAACATCGAGGACTTGAAGTTCTGGCGTCTCTTCTGTGTGCTTTCTTCTAGGTACTGGGCTCTTGGACTCGTTCGCGACCAGGTGTACATAGGATGAACAGTGCAAGTTGGCCACGCCGCCTAGTTGCCGGATTGCAGATGAAAAGCAGTGGTCGACCTGCGAGGCCGACGGCCGACCGACTGGGTCTTTGCTCAGCATACCTCGTGACATGGAAAGCATGGCTCGGACGGCCTGAAACACGGGACTTTTTTGCTTCTTTGCATCCTGGTCCAAGAGTGTGATCCAGGAGGTGACTTGGGCCATGTTTCGATCTAGATGGAACGAGCAATCTGCAACGCCCCCTCCGCGGCCAGCAGTCCGGTTCTTGGCTCCACGGTGGTGTACAAATGAGGATATCTTGCGCTTACATAGATGGGTGAAGATGTCCACGGTGACCGCGCCGAGGGAGAAAATGTCGGAGGCTTTCGGATTGGTCTGGCACGACTGCCAGCTGTGGACTACTGCGGCGTGGGAGTGTGAAAGGGGCAAACTCACCGCACCTAGAGAGGTCTGGTGCGAAGAAGATCCCGAAGAGTTGGACGATGTGATCGAAGGGGTGTAAAAGATAGGTCGTTTCACGGAGGATATGACACGTTTCCGAGCGCTTCCGCCGCTTGATCCAGATGAGGAAGAAGGCCCAAAGGAGAATCGAGATGGAGAGCCTGGCGATACAACCCGGATGGCAGTTCCTTGAGAGAGCATGGATTCTGGCCGCGAGTCTGTGGCTTCATGGTCCGGCGGATACGATTCTTTGCGTATGCCGAAGCTCAACCTGGATGGTCTAGATGACGGCTTGCGAGCCGTGCGTCCACCCGAGGGTAGGGCTGTTCGTGAAGGACCAGTGTCCTGAACTGTAGCGAAGCGAACCCAGCGTTCCGGAGCTCCGTACTGATACGACTCGACATCGTCGATCTTGACCGGAGGCAGCAAAGTGTCCAGGGCCTCGAATTGTCCTAGGAAGATTCTCAAGTCCGCATCGATGAAGATGTTAGATGGTCGAATGCCACCATGCACCTGGTTCTGCGCATGAAACCACGATAATCCATTCGCTAGGCAATGCGGCCAGTTGACGAGAGTCTCTCGACGTCGTTCCTTGGACAAGCGCTTGAATTGTGGAGGTACGTCCGTAAGGAAAGACATCAGAGTGCGTTCGTAAACACCTGAAAACAGAATGCAAACTGTGTTGTCGACAAAGTATGACCCGAATATTGAGTAGACGTGCTCGTGAGAGAGCCTCCTCAGGGAGCGAACCTCTTCTAGGACCTCGTCTTCCTCAAAAAAATGTGGTGGCCCTCCAACCGTGACTTGAGTTCGCAGATACACTCGACACACAGATCCGGCGAGGACCACTCTTTCCACGCCATCTCTCGCCAGGGCCGCACCAGTTCGCAGTAATTCCACGGGGACGCCCTCGTTCTCCGTATACTTGACATGTTCCCCTTCGCCGATGCCTCGCACGACAAACCGCCACTGCGCAAGAAAGAATTTGGAGTCCAACGCTGGATCTTCTGCGTCTGGAGATAGGTGGAGACGATCGACGCTGTGGGCCGCAATAGGCAGATCAGAGTCGTCAAGGGATTCATCTACCAAGGCAAAGATCCGCTCAGGAATTCCGATATCAACGAGGATTAGGAAGAGTCTTCCCGCTTTGGCGAGGATCCAATCGAGATAGGTCTCGCTCGTTAAACCCTCACCCCATGGCAAAGGAGTCACGAGACGATGCAGGATATTGGAGGGCAGATGGTTGAAGATATACTCCGAGCATAGAGTAGCTTGGATTCTATCTTCGGGCCACCAGAGTGACGTTATGACCGACATGGTGCACACATGGCGAACGGGGCCGACTAGAGGAGGGATTTGGCCGAAGGGAAACTATAGTTAATATACTGCTAGAGAGAATAAGGCTGGAGGTACGTTTGTTTCTTCGACAAGACTAGTGTCAAATGGACTAAACAATGCTCTTTGCGGCTGTCAAGAATATTAAATTAGCACTAGGTTGGCATCAAGGATAATCATAATTAAACCAAGAAAGCATAATATAGTGACAATACGGGGGGACTGAACCTACTAGTAGAACAAGGCTTATCTGAATTCCAGCAAGGGATACTGGCTGAATTATTGACAGTCCAATCAATAGTAACGAGGAATTGCAGACAGCCTCTAAGCATCCAGAAGGAGAGGAAATGAAGAGGGGTGGGAGGGAACTAGGCTCTTTCACAGCGCGTCCCACTGTACTCCCACTCCGTAGGACTCGGGTGATTGGCAACGGGCTCGGACTCGCCATGCGAAAGACTCAAGATTGGGTGGTACTGGGTTAGTTTCCATGGCATCGAACGACACTATGGTCGACAGACCAGTCCGAGCATATTATGAGACAGACAGGCTGATAAGCAACCAGGATCTCCATCAGCGTGACAACGGTTCTTCCAGGGAAGCTTCGGGTGAAACCAAACGAAAAGGGATAGACGCGCCGTTAGATCAGTGGGGATTCGAGGCCCAGGTGGATAGATCACATCACTAAAGTAGATGGAGAAGGACGCATCATCGATTGAGAAGGAGAAGGAGAAAGTCCCGATGGAGATAAGCCGGCAACGTGATCAATCACGGGACCCCCGCTCAATTGTTGGATGGAAACCTGGAAGACTGTAGAGATTGAAGCCATGATAGTCATCTGCGTGAATTGTGAATTGTGAATTGTGAATTGTGAATTGTGAATTGTGAATTGTGAATTGTGAGCTATCATTGCTGCAAAGTCTCGAGTCAGGCTGTGTCCATTATTCAACGCTTCATCCAATTCAATTTGCTGTACGGATTAGGGACCCTCCTACCCACGCAATGCCGATCAGAAGAGCCGAGAATCCCCCGAGCACTCTACTCTAGTCAATAATCCGCATTGTATGCAGTGTACTTCTGTCCGAAATCGATAGCTCCTGCAAGCTTATCAGTGACAGGTAGAATGGACGCTATTAGTCACGGCCGAGGAGAGATAAGGATTCAGGACTCCAATAGGTGACCGGCTGTCGCATTGTCCACTACCCAAAGCCCTGGGACCGTGGAGAACGATCGAACTGCAAAGCCCGACCCAGGAATGCTCCTACAGTGTAGGATCAAGCATATGATCGTTCTCTTATCTTGCCTTTCCCCCTCTTCTCGATGCTCTCCGTTCCGCCGGGCAGCCGGGAGGGTGTTCGCCGATGACATGCGAGAGGTATCTAATGAGAACGGGAAACAGGAGGAACTAGAAATGATCATTTCCTAATATGATCGTTGGGGAACAGCTTCCTGTCCATTGATGGTACTAGACCGGACCTACTCGGGGCTTCCCAATTCCGCGCATTCCCCTTCTCTTCAGATTCTCGATAAATATGCCACACCAAGTGGGCACGAAGATCTTGATCCACGGTTCATTGGAAGTGGAACAACCGATCTGCCATGTTTTCTGATCGGTCTCTTCGGTACAAACCCAGGAAGAGCTCAATGATTCATTCGACCCAGGATCTATTGAAGCATTGCGGAAATATTGATCGTAGCCATGGTATTTCATACATGTAGCTTGCATTTAATTAAGCCCCCTTTCTGTCTATCAGTTCTAGTTAGCTGGACCTGATAAGATAAGTTGGGACGTGAATGACTCGCGCTGACGAGGCTGAACAATGTCCTAGTCAATAAGACATGACCTTGTACAGTAGTTCCCTTTTGAAGAGAATCTTGAATTTTTCATGTGGACAATATGATACCTCCCAAGTTTCCTAGAACATACAAACATACTTCATAATCAAACAGATGGGACCCTCGCGTCAGTGACTTTTGTTCATTCCATCCAGGTCATTTTTCATCATGATCACTCATATCCTTCCATATTAAACAAAGGAAAGACGAAGGAACGATCACACAAAACAAAAGAAATCCACCCAAAAGAAGGACCAGCCCTCAAGGCAACCTCCCCTATCCCCTAACCCTACGAAGTAAGGTCGTAGGTATACCTAACCAACTAATACGCCCTCCCCAAAAAAATACAAAACTATATAGTCCCCTGCCTCCTCAACCGCCATCTCAACCGACTACTATCTTTACCTCCTCCATGACTAGAAATCGGAAAAGACTGCCGTCGCTGGTACTCATGGGAACCTGAGCGTCGTCGATCCCACGACTTGCGAAAATGTTGCTGCTCGTCGTCTTGCTGCTTCGCGCGCTGGTAGAGGAATTCTTCATGCGCTTCTTTTTCTTCCGTGAGTGCCTTTATCTAGATTATGGGATTGAGGTGTTAGTTGTTAGGTACTAAGGGTATTGGGTAGGGTTGGGTGATTAATTTCGATTGTATCCTTCTCTTGCTGTTTGATTTTGTTCTTATTCCTTGAATCATTCAAGGAGAGGATAGGAGGGAGAAAAGGAGGGGATATGCCCTCAAAAATAGCAAATCAAACAAAGGAGAAGAGGAGGGGGAGGGGGGAAAGAAAACTCACATAAACCAACCAAACCTCCTGCTCCGAACTCCACGCTTTCTGACACCTCTTCAGCTCGCTCTCCGCGATAGCGAGATCGCGTTCCTGACGCCTCGTCCACCGACACCGATGACTCAATATACTCGCCCAACTGACGACGCGCACCAAACGACTGCTGCTGCCGCTAGCGCCGATACCGATGTCATGCAGGTCCTCGTCGTCGTGCTCGTTCACCGCCATATCGATATCCGAGTCCGAGTCGGAGAAGAGCGAGGGGTCATCGTCACCGACTTTCACGTTGACTACTGTGATGTTTTGGAGTGGGAGAGGGGCTAATTCTGGTTCTGGTGCTGGGGGTGGAATTCCCCACGATAGGTGGTATTCGTCGTGGCAGTGCACGCTGCAGGGGCCGATCTCGACGGATTTACCCTTCCATGGGGACGCGCGGGCGCGTGTTCGTGGGAGGAAGGATAGGCGGAGGAAGTTTTTGAAGGGGTGCATTTTCCTTTCTTTTTTTGGACCTGAGTAGGTAGGTAAGTAGAGTAGAAAGGAAGTGAGGTGAGGCAAGGTAGGTATGTATGTATGTCTGCAACTCAGGTTTGTAATGGAAGAAAGTAGGGCTGGGTTGGGGATATCCCAAGGATTTTCGTCTTCCTTATATACTGGTATCCTAACATCCCCGATCTTCTATTCTCTCAGATATAGATCATTTATTCATTGAACAATCGACTAGCTAACTGACTAATTAACTATTTACCTACCTAGTCCACTAATAACCGTCAGACGCATACATACGCCATACGCCATGCCCACTAAACCTCAGAATGAGGCATCAAGACCGGGTAAGTCCAAGTTAGGCGTCACTGACACTGACACAACTCTAGCCAGAACGTCTTCTACCCATCAATCAGGCCCTCTCACCACCCACTCGCTCTCTGGAATAGGCAAAGTGTCACCCTGCCATGCAGACCTGCTGAGCCCTGTTTGGTCAGTGTTCCGAATGCCTGCAGCTCAGTCGAAACTTCAATGTGACAGTTCCCTTTTGTCTGCCGGAACGGAACCCGAGCATCGGAGCGCAGGTGGGTGGATTCGTGGGTTCGAACCCGGCCTGGACGAATAAGATAGGCACATTATCGGCATCGCATTGTTGTTTTTTTCTTTGCCCATGCCAGCACAAGAGACCGCATCCCTGGTGGGCGAAAACGTGGCGGTAAACCCGGTCTCTTAGGGGCTGCAGTGTCGAGATGTTCGCTGTTTGGGATGAGCGTGGTGGATGTTGCGATTTCGGGTGCGTCTGTAGTCTGGGTTTCTGGAGTTCGCTACAAGAAGTTGACGAAGAGGGAGACCCTACGTAGGAGCGGTCCTGGTCAAATACATCATGGGCTTCCTACGTAGTCAGCGTCGCGAAGCACGAGAGATACTATTCTGGATTGAACCCGGTGAAAACCTGCTAGGAAAGTACCCCTTGGCAAGATTGAGAATCGGGCCGAAAAGAAAATAAAACCCAATGAATAGGTCACATCTGCTGCATGAACCAGTGATGCAGAGGCGGTCCAGTCAAGAATCCTTTGGTATAGACATGAATAATTCCTCGCCGCTGACTCATGAACACCCAATCATCCCTGACACCCAAAAAAAGTAATAATGAAGAACCAAAGGGGAATCATACATCAGATAATAAAGCCAAATTCTATACAATACAACCAGAACAAGAATAGGCGAGACTATGACAGTCGCCAACCCAACCAGCAAGATCCCGTCGATTAGATTCATCAGCCCGTGATGGCCCGAGTACATGGAACACCCCAAAAGAACAAAGCCATCCAAGGTCCGTGCCAAAACAGGACCAGTAGACTCGAGTTTCTTGACAGAAAAAAAACTGGAGTTGAGAAAACCAAGAAAATTCAAAGTGGTGTGTTCGGTCCGATTCATCAGCGCCACGATCTGGCCGCTGTAGCTCTGTTTCTCGAAGACTCTGTGCTCCACTGTCCTTGCATCCCGGCCTTCCTCTCTTTTCGGATCTCTTCGCCAATGATAATGCTGATCAGTCTTCGGTGCACATCGGCTTCCGTCCAGCCGACTTGGCCCGTTCCACCAGCCTGTAAGTCGGCCTTGGCCAGTTCTTGCACGAATCGATCGATAATCGCAAACTGGCGTTCGGTGATAGGGACCCCGTGGACCCCGTCCGATGTCCAGATCCAGTCGCCTACAATGCCAGCCCGCTCAGCAGAGGAGTGGAAGGGAAACCGTTCGGGATACCTTTTTGCTAGGCGATAGAGGCGACGCAGAAACGTGTAGTGATCGTCGGAAAAATACCCAGAAACAGCCAATGGAAGCTGACGTTCGTATGTCTCACCCGTCGTTCCCACGTCCGGAGATGCACGTTCGTGGTCAAGCATCTGGCCAGGGAGAGGCGTGGCAGAGCTGTGCCGGTCAAGGCCTTTCCTAGCAACTTGATGCAACGGCCTTGGCGTTTCTTCCATTTCTTGGTTGTTTCCGGTTTCCCCGTGAACTTCGTCATCAAATCGCGCTGGTTCAACAGGAAGCTCCTCGTCCTCCTCGCTTTCTTCTTCATCCTCCGCTTCCTTGTCTTCGGTTGCTGCTGCTGCTGCTGCCGCCGCCGCGTCTACCTCGTCGACCTCCTCTTGTTCCGGTTCTGGTTCCTCGTCTTCGGAACTCTCTTCACGTACCGGGGGACTAGGTCGCTTTGGTGATCCCCTAATTGGTGCTTTCAGCCATCGAGGCGTGAGACTAGCAATTCTTCGGAACAGGGATGATGCCGGTATTTCAGCGCTAGTGGGTTGGGCGCGCTCCGGAGTGATGCCATGTGTCTCGTGAGCTGACTGCTGCTCGGTTACGGCGGCACTGGGAATGTCTTCATTTCTCTGTTGGTCTCGTTGCGCAAGAGCGAGTTGCCAAGCATTCTCATGTCTTGTGGTTGGGTCAACTTGAAAGGCCTCATCATCAGATAGCCGGGGGCTCGACGCCAAGAAGCCATCCGACTGTAGGTTGTTTTCGGGCACGTACCCTCGGACATCGTCATGTTGGGACGCTTTGGTCGATGGCGAGCTCTGTAGAGGTCTGGATTTGGCAGCGCTCATGGGACTACTAGTTCCGTGATAATAGCGCGAGCGTCTTGGTGTGTACTCTGCGCGTAAAATACCTGAAAGATCGACGTTTTGTTCACGAAGTTGTCTCACTCGCGACTGACCTAAGAAGGGTACCTTGTCCTGTTTGGTGATCCAGTAGTCTGGCGACGACTCGCCTTGCTCCCCTGGAGTATCGTTAAGGCCATTTTCCCACGGACTGGACTCTTTGCCAGCAGCCATGTCATTCTGTTGGTCGTATGTGACAGGTGAACGGTGGGAGTGAGCGCTCTGGTTATGTGCTTCTTGCTGCCAGATGTCTTCATCCTCATCCTCCTCGGAATCATCATGTTGGTACTGCTCTTCATTTTCGTCTCGGTGAGCCAAGTCTGGATATTGAACGTCATCTACACCCTGGTCCTGGATTGGACTTTCATGCTGATACCTATGAAGATGCTGTTCGTCATGTGGATCTTCATACTGGTCTTGATCCGGGTCTTGATATTGACCCTCATTTTGTTCCGGACCTAGATCCAAGTCTCGATGATACCCCTCATCATCATCACCATCGTTCGAATCCGGACCCAGGTCTAGTTCTCGATAATGCTCATAGTCATCTTTATCTTCCCCAAGATCCAGGTCTCGATAATATTGATCGTCCATTACATCCAGGCCTTGGGCAGGGCTCTGAAGGTGATGTGCATGCTGATGTTGCTCCTCATGTAGATCCGGATATTGATCCAGGTCTTCATGATACTGATCGTGGTACTGGTCCTGATCCTGATATTCGTCTTGATACTCGTCGGAATTCTGACGTTGCTGGTAGTCATTGTACTGATCATCGTCGTCAGAGTAATCATCGGCTGGATCTGCAAGGGTTTCAAAAGGAGCAGCCCGGTTGAACTCTGGCTCCTGCTCCTGCTCGACCGAAGGTTCACGTGTATCTTGTTCATCAATACCAGGGCCACTGTCATCGCTGCCGATGACTATGACTTGACTCGTGTTGGCCATTTGAATCTCGCGACTGATAGCCTCCCGCTCCCTCTGCCATTCTTCCATTCGCCGTTTCATCATGGTGCTCGGCGATTTGGTTCTTCTGTTGCTATTTGCCTGCTGGAGTGGAGTCGCAGAGGCGCGTGCAGCATCTCGTCCCTTTTCCCGCGGTGTGTCCGTCATCGGTGATTTCGTAGCCTTCCGAGGTCTGATTGTTTCCAACTCCGCTTGTCTCTTTCTTCTTGCCAGTTCATGCCCGAACCTAAGCGCCCCGCGCAGTTCATGGTGCATTGTGGGATTGAAATTGCTGAAAATGATCTCCATACGTTTTCGGGAGGCGTCCATGTCGGAGACTTGGTCACCCGTGTTTGGGATATGCGGAGTCGCCATAACGTCTGGCGACTCGTATGCATGTCTCATGGTACCTTCCAGTGCTACGCCCAAGCGGATTATTCTGGCCAACCTGGATAACGGGCCTTTCCGGATTGTAGACTTAGGCGCCGACCTTGCAGGTGGTGACACAATCGGCGAGGGGCTCTTGACTGGCTTGGGTTTGGCACTTGAAGACCCTGGCCTATTACTGGGTTGTCGGGAGTGCCTCGTTTTTCGTGGTTCCTTCGATGATTGTCTAGTTCGTGAACTCGAAACACTGCCTGACTCGTCTCTGCTAGTCCTTCGTTGTAGTGACCCGATTGTATCTTGATTCCAAACACGCCTGAGAGCACTTTTGCCTATATTAGAGTCCTCCTTCCCCTCGAGACCATGTTGCTTCGCTGACGGTAACGTATCCAACGATACCATGCTGAACCCTTCACTCTCTATGATCGAGTCGAATTCCCTTCGTTCGTCTGTCGGGTCTTCTGTGTGATGTGATTCGTCTGGTCGCAGGTTGCCGTTCGTGGTCGGGTTGTCCGAGGATGCCGAAGGTGCCGAGTCTCGCTTCTCCTCGTCAACCAAGGATGAAGAGGTCGGAGTAGGGTAAGTGCGTGGTGGCATGGGTGTACGGCCAGCATGTAGAGTGTTATCGGGGGAAATGATATTTCGCTCACGAGAAGGGGATGGCATCTTCGAGGGAGTTGAACCCCAATGGCCACTTCCGTTGGCCATGTACGGTTCATCCGGCGAATCGACATGTGGCGTATCGAATGTCTGCTCAAATCGCACGCGCGGTGAGCTTCGGTTCTCGTGAGCACCCCCAAGATACCCTTGGGTGGGGGTGGGTTTTTCTAATGGAGCGCCAAAATCTTGGACGTCGGGTAGATCATCGTCATCAGAATCAGCGTCTCCGGCCAGGTTCAGGGGACTGAAGCTCCGCTGAGGTTCATAAAAAGGGGCCGCTTGATCAATTTCTTGGACCCTTCGGTCTTCTTGAAAATCCTGCGTTGCTCGGGCTTCCTGGGTATCATGTACATCTTCCATTGGCTCGTCCTGGTCATCGTGTAGTTCCTGAATTCGCTGGTTTTCCTGGGCCTCCTGGATACCAGGCATTCGAGCCTCCTGGGAACCCGTCGCTGCCTCGGTTGCATCCCAGACCGGCGTATTTTTCCTCGGTCGACCACGTTTCCTCTTCTGTCCACTCGCGCCTACCGGGCCCGGCGTGTGTCCGGGGCTGCCGGGGATCGGGGTCGCATCCTGCTCCACGAGGTCCGACTTCCTGGGACGCCCTCTGCGTCTGCGCGGGGTTTCCTCCACAGACGCCTCCTCCCCCTTCAGCGGTATTTTGGTCGTGGTCGTAGTCACGGGACGTAGACGTTTGCGCGGACTGTCAACGGCCATTTCATCGTCGTCCTGCGTTGCCTCCAGCGTTACGCGAATCCTCCACGGGCTGACATTCCCGTCGGTCTGGGCTTTGTCGGGCGAGAACGACATTTGCCCTCCATCTAGTTTCATGGACGGCGAGGCGGGGAGCAGAACATCGTCGAAACGGATTGAGTGGGCGCTGCGACCGCCGGGGGTGAAGCTGGCGCGTGGGCGGGAGCCGGTTCGCGGTGTTTGCAGCAGTTTGAAGTTGGCCGGCGACATGGCGCTCTGGCGGCCGGTGAAGGGCTTGATCGGCGAGGAAATTAGATATTCGGCGTCGCCAGGGGTCCCAAGAATGTCGGGCGAAGAGGCTGAACTGTTACTGTACATCGCGGTATGCGGAGGTCAACCCCCGACCGCGTCTCCCTCGAAGATTGGAGGAAGGTGGTTGAGCAAGCACAGCAAGTGCAATCAAGCGAGTTCGGGCATTCTCCAATGCCAAGAGAGTTCAAATAACAGAGAGCTGCAGTCTACCAAAAAAGGGTACCAAGAAGAAAGATAGTGAGCAGATAGCGGGGAAAGCAAAACAACCTCGCATGCCTAAACAACTCTCCCGATCAGGCAGGCCGACGGGGAGGTGATAAGGTAATGTCGGGAAGATGAATGTTCCGCTCCGTCGTTGTTATCACCGGTCCCGTGATGTACGGAGACGACGAGCGACCAAGTGTGCATCTTCCCCGGATTATCCTGACCTCATGGGTTGTACGGAATATGTACTGTGCTTTGCAGTGTGAACCCTAAAAGTCAACCTGGATTATGAGCTGAGATGAACTGACCATCATTAAGATAAAGCCCAGTGATTGCTCTTGTTCTCGGCATGAACTATATGCTAGATATGACCTAATCCAATGATCCAACGTTCAATGAAGCCCCGAATAACAGTTGATGTTAGATATACAGATTCACCAAGTACTAAGTAGTAAGTACAGTACAGATAATTTCCCCGCTAGAAAATACCTCACGCTGTTGGGAAGTGGTGGCCTGAGAGCGTCACCAACGACGGATGCAGAGCTCCGTGCGGACAGTGACCATAGATTAATACTGGATAAACGGCAATATGGTGCCTGACAAAGGCAACTGGACCATGGAAGTGTCTATGGAAAGGAGAGGCCTCTTTCCTCCCCGCAATCCGGTCTTCCCACCCCCACTGAGAATTGCCCCATCAGGATTAGCGCCATCGCTGGATGCCGCGTGGCTGGACTCCCCAAGTTCCCAACTTTCTTCCCGACCGCGCGATCCTTTGTCCATCACTAGATTCCATTCCTCTCTACGCTGGACTTTCTTCCTTCTCTTAGCCTACTCTCGCCCGCCACTGAGGTCACTTCGGGAATTGGCATTCGGCCCAATTCCTCCTGCACCCTCTCACAGACCTCCTTTCGCTAGTGGCGGACGGGTCCCATTCCCCAACCCCCCGGCCTTAATTCCCCTCATCCCTGAGCTTGTTGTCAGTTACACACGCACTAACTAGGCACCTCGCGGGCTGCGACCTTCCATTACGTCTGTTGGCTCGGATAATTCACTGCCCCCCGTCCAGTCTAAACCCAAGGCCACGGTGATTGTCCGTTGGTTCCTGCGCACTGGTTCCCTCCCCCGCTTGCTGGTCAGGTGGCCGTCATGAGGTAAATAAAAAAATAATAAGATTTTTACTTTGTTTGTATAATATATAAAAGCGTGCTATGCTTCCTTCCTCCGCCGCTCCCAGCCAGGGTTTCTCTCAGCTTGGACGCCGCTTCCGGTCTTTTCTCTGTTCTGCCCGCTTCTTCTCCCCTCGCCTCTTCTACCTCTACTGCTTGGTCTTCCTCTCCATCACTGCTCTCATCGGAGTCAAGATGCATCTGAAAAGCTATCTGCCCGTCGCCCTTCTCGGGGTGCCGGCACTGGCGCAATCCCCGCCCTCATCGGCCGCTTCAGACCCCTTCAAGGTCTACACCATCAGCGCCCAGAACATCACCGCCAAATTGATCCCCTACGGCGCACGTCTGACCTCGCTCCTGGTGCCGGATCGTCATGGCAAATCGCAGGACATTGTCGTGGGCTACGACGATCCCAAGGACTACCTGAAGGACACCGAGACCAACCACACCTTCTTCGGGGCCGTCGTCGGCCGCTACGCCAACCGCATCAGGAACGGCACCTTCGAGGTCGACTCGACCAAGTACCAGATCGCCACCAACGAGAACGGCGGCGCCGACACCCTGCACGGCGGCAAGGTCGGCTACGACGCCCGCAACTGGACCGTCACCTCGCACACCAACACCTCCGTCACCTTCACCCTGTATGATCGCGGCCTGGAAAAGTTCCCCGGCGATGTCATCACCCACGCCGTCTTCGCCGTCGACAGCACCCCGTCCGCCGACAACCCGGCCGGTCTCCCCCAGCTGACGACCAAGCTGATCTCACTGGCCCTCACCGAAACCACCCCCATCATGCTCTCCAACCACATCTACTGGAACCTGAACGCCTTCCAGAAACCCACCATCCTCAACGACACCTTCCTCCAGCTGCCACTCTCCCACCGCCTCATCGGCACCGACGGCATCCTTATCCCCAACGGCACCCTCCTCGGCGTCGACTCCTACAAGGGCAGCCCCGACTTCACGGAGGGGAAGCTCGTCGGCCGCGACATCAAGAACACCGAGGGCCTCTGCGGCGACGACTGCAGCGGCTACGACAACTGCTTCATCGTCGACCGTCCCGCGCAGTCCTCCGCCTCGAACTCCCTGGTGCCCGTGCTGCGCGCCAACTCCTCCGCCACGGGCATCAGCCTCGAGGTCGCCACCAACCAGCAAGCCGTCCAGATCTACTCCTGCAACGGCCAGAACGGCACCATCCCCATTAAGCCGTCGCAGGCGAAGAAGAACAAGGACGCCAAGATCGACGGACCCAAGGGCGTCAACAAGTACGGGTGTCTCGTCATCGAGCCCGAGGGCTGGATCGATGGCATCAATAACCCCGCATGGGGCCAGTTGGGTGATCAGATCTTTTCGCCGCAGAGCGCGCCCGCGGTCAACTGGGCGACGTACAAGTTTGGGACGGTCTGATTCTGATTTCAAGGCTGGATAAATGGACTATTAATCACATCTTCTTTTTTCCATTTCCATTTTCATTTCACGCCGTGTTTTTATTTCTAGCGTTCTCAATTACCTACCTCCATGTACATAGTCGTGGGTTGTCAATAATAGGACTAGCAATTGAGGACTTTTTACTATGATATTTCAATGTGAGTAAATGTAAATTAACGGTAAAGAGTCGGGTATCATTTCTATCATCGGAGCTGTACAACATGGCGAGGGAGGATTCAACCCCAACCAGCCAACGTCCAACTCGACCTATCCCCCCCAGAACGTAACCCAGATCGTCGATCGGCGACATGGCCATGAGATTCCAAGTCTCGGCTCGCTCCAGACAACCCCTGCTGAAGATATTTCTCGCGCTCGATTTCGACCAGACCGCGAACTTTGAGGCTGGAGACGAGACTCGCTCCGGCCCAGGGGCCCAGGGATTCTACCTCGCGCAAGACACCGTGGATTTGCGGTTTCGTGTCCTTGTCCTTGTTGTTTCGACGGATCTTCTGCTCGATGTGGTCGATCTCTTCTTCGTCTTCCACCTCTTCGTCGGGATTCTCGTGGGAGGTGGGGTTTTCCTGGCTAGGGGTTTCGGTTCTGGTGGGTGACAATGGCGGGTGGTTGAGTTGCAGATTTTGCAGCTTTTCGCGCTGCTGTTCGATGACCTTGCCCCGGACCGGACTCCAGCCGTATCGGTCGACGAGGAAGGCAACTTCGTCGAGAACCCGTCGTCGGATTCCCGGGATGTGAGACCCGCCACCGACAAACACAATGCGAGACATACAGGTTCCTCGCGCATCGGGCGGGAGATCCAAGAGTGCATTGTAGACCAGGACCGGAACGGGCTTCTCCTCGTCATCCAGATCACAATCGGCCGCATCCTCTGCGAAGAGGATCTTTTCCACTGGTTCTGCAAACTTGCCGAATGGCACGTCAATGTAATCCGCGCTGGGATTCGACGGCGACGGAATCGACACGGTCTTCTGTTCTATCGGGGTCGTTCCATCCTCGTGGTTTAATGTCTTGGCCACCCTAGGTTTGCACCAGGCAAACCTACTGACCAGTTCCTCGCAGTATTCAAAGTCCACCGAAATCTCATCCGACGCTCCCCCAGCCGACGAAAGACGCGACATCGACCTCCCCGTCTCCTGCAGCAACGCCTTCATCGCTCTCGTGCTCCGTCGCGTCGTGATCTCGCGGTACTCGTACACGCCATTCACGACCGTCTCGCCCCATCCCAGATCGACCACCAGCGCCGAGCGCACTCCGGCCGCCGTCGTGGTCATAACGGGGCTCTGCAGCAGGGTAATACTCGGGAACCGCCACCGACCAAACAGCGTCGACAAGACCGACGAAAGCAACGGATGCGGCATGACAGATGGCAAGACCAGAACCAGCCGGGACGTGCCCGCATCCGTCAACAGGTATTTATTGTACGTCTCGCGAAACATGCGCTCGATCTTATCCTCCACCAGTCCCAGGTCCACAGCGCGGAGATCCATCTTCCACAATTCGTATCGCCCCGTCCACTCATCCGCTGGAATGCCCTGCGGACGCGACCCCTCGGCTTGGTTCCCCTTTACCCAGCCTCTGTAATCGCCTGCGCGCCTGCAGTCTTCGGGTCCGCAGCCCACGACGCACACGGGGGCGCTGTCGCCCTCGAACCCGGCGCGTAACCACCGCGCCCCGAATTCAAAGACGATAGCATCTTCTTCCCCGCGAAACGACGAGCTGGCGGACGAGGTGCTGGCGAAGGAGGAATTGTTGGACCGCAATTGGTGTGACGGCGTCGACGGCCGGCCGGACTGGCTGTGTCGGAAACTCATGGATGATCGTGCGTGAGGATTGGGACGTTGGTCATCGAAATTCGGTGTCGTAAAGGTACTGGTCATATCCTGGGGAAATCAAGCGATCTATTACTTTTTCCCCGGTCTATATCGTGTTGGACCTATGATCAAGAAAACACGGAAGATCGGAGACGGGAGATTGACGGACGGACGGGGTGGGCGGGCAATGCGCGAATATCATAGTGTGATCATGCCGTTCCTCTAGAGCGCTCAGTCAAAGGGGGTAATCAGTACATGCCTGCCACTCGTGGCAACGATGCGAGCACGAAAATCAATCGATTAATTAAAAGTCTCGGCAGCATTAGTCGACGAAGAGCGAAGAGACCGACCAGGGAAGCAACGACGGGGAGACCGACCGGATCTACATCGGGCCGTCGCGTCAGTTCATCGACGTCAACAAAACAACCTAAACAACGGCGTTAATCCAACTGGTGTCTCTACGCACGCTCTGCGGCCGGTTTTGAGCTTGGGGATTTTGGTGGTCTTTTTTGGTTTTTGCGATATCCGACCGGATGGGGATCCCTGGGTAAGTGTGGCCGTTTGGTTGTGGTGGAGACGCGCCCTTGGAGCTCATGTCATGATATATATTTTCTGCTTATGACCGCTCCTAAGCCACCAACCCACCAGGTGTGCAATTTGCTGACCGATGCAGGCTTATCAATGCGATTGGCACTGGAGAGCGCATTTCCTTGTCCAGATTGGCCGTAAATCACCTGGAACGAACCACACGACCGATCCGAATCGCGGTGGATATTTCGATATGGCTATTCCAGGTCCAGGCTGGGCGCGGCGGCACGAACCCCGAACTACGCACCTTGTTCTATAGACTGCTGAAGCTGCTCGCTCTGCCTATTCACCCGCTCTTCGTGTACGACGGGAAGCAAAAGCCCCCTTTCAAGCGCGGCAAGGCATCTGGAGGCAGTGCAGGTAATCTACCGATCATTCGGCTGTCTAAAGTCCTGGTGGATCTCTTCAAGTTTCCGCGCCACGATGCTCCCGGGGAGGCGGAGGCGGAATGTGCCAGGTTGCAGACGGCCGGCGTCGTGGACGCAGTGATGAGTAATGATGTTGATGCTTTGATGTTCGGCTCGTCGTGGACGGTGATGAACTTTTCGAAGGAGAGTGGGAGTGGTACTACTGCTGCGACGCATGTCACTTGCTACCAGATGGGTGATGGGGAGAAGAACCTGGCAAACGCCAAACTCGATCGGGCTGGGATGATCCTATTCGCGATGCTTAGTGGAGGTGACTATCTCCCGTCGGGGGTCCCCAAATGCGGGAACAAGTTGGCCGCGCAGATCGCGAGAGCCGGGTTTGGTGCAGACCTCTTGGAAATTATCAACTCGAACAGCACAAACATCGAAGCGGATCTAAGTGAATGGAGAGAGAGGCTCCAATTCGAGTTGGAAGAGAACGAGAGTGGTTACTTCACGACGAAGCACAAAGCGGTTCGAGTTCCCGAAGCTTTCCCGGACAAGACAATTCTATCATTCTACGCCAAACCGGTAGTATCTACACAGAGGGAGATAGAAGGTTTACGGGACCGTTTGGTGAATGCTTGGGACCAGGATCTCAACCCCTTAGAACTGAGAAGATTCGCAGCGAATGCTTTTGATTGGAACTATCGCTCTGGAGCGAGAAAGATGATCAGGCTATTGGCCGAGCCTCTCGTCTTGTTTAGACTTCGGCTGGGAAAACCAGCATCTGCATTTGCCGACAATGAGCCTAAGCTGTCTGATGTCGATGGGCCGATGCTGCAGAAAGTGTACAAGAGCCGAACAAGCTTCAGCACGGACGGATTGACAGAGCTGCAGCTACACTTCGTTCCCATCGACGTTGTTGGCTTGGATTTGTTCGCCGAGGAACCTAACCCTCCGCTGCCTTCGCAGGAGACTGCGGCGACCGTTTCGGGCGATGAAGAAGATGTTCTGGAGGAGCCAGCTGTCCCTCAGTCGCCCGTAAAGAAGCGTGTGACGAAACGATATGACCCCCTAGCACCGGAGAAGATTTGGGTTTTCGAAACGCTGGCCTTGATCGGTATTCCGGAGGTGGTGGAAAAATGGAAAAAGGAGGTCGCTGAGAAGTCTGCGCCAAAGAAGCCCGCTGCCCGAAAGACTGGACCGAGGAAGAAGGGGCCAATTGATCCGGGCATGAAGAGAGGAAGTATCCTCAAGTACGGAACTCTCACCAAGGAGCGGTCGGAGATCTCTGAGTTTAGGAACGCTTCACTCTTTGAGGCTGCCATCTCAGGGACACCGACAAAGAACGGTTCGTCGCTGGGGCAACCCGGTGGCTCAGTTGCGCCTATTGGTACTGGTACGTCGTACGGGAATGACCTTGGATTTCAGATGCCGGCATTCAGTCAAGATCTCGGATTCGACGACCTCACAGACCGATTCTCCTTATCCTGCAATGTCTCCCCTGATGCAGGCATCAAGCGACATCCTATGATGCGTCGGTCTCGTGCGTCTGGAAGAAGAAGAGCCGTTGCGTCTGGGCCGGAGGTTGAGACGGACATCGCCAGTCCAGAGATTTTGGATTGCCCATCCCCGGCAGCCGTCCCCCGACTCCGGATGAGTTATTCAAATTCTAGTTGCGAGGAGTCATTGGTAGAGATTCCAGCACTCTCTCCTGGCTATAAGACTCGTCGTCCGAAATCAAAACCTACTACGAAACACCAAGATATCTGCGAGGTACAAGAACTGGAGCAGGCCGTATCATCAATCACGATTGAAGACGTCGATGACAGCCAAAAACAGAACACTAAATCTCGCTCTCGTTCTTCAAGGCTCGAACCCGACACTCCGAAAAGAGAGACGCGAAAACCGAAAACCAAAGAGCCCAAGCCAACCAGCCCCTCTCGTGTCCAGAATCTTCTGGAGAAAGCATCTCTTGATATGCCTTCGCTGCGAAGACAGCAACAGAAAAAGACACAGACACCGGATGATGAAACCTTAAGTTCTCAACAAGAGACTACGAAACCAACCTCCTCCGATGAACATCATCCTGCCACTCCTTCGCACCTGGACTCTATCGTCGTTTGCGATGGCTACTGGACAATCGACACCGATCCGGAATCTGAGCTGGTCTCAGACGGCAAGAAGCGTGGTAGAAAGCAACGCTTCCGACGCGTCAGCGTCCTGGATTTAAGATAATTGGTCTCGCGTTGGAAGGTCCTAGTGTTTTAATATCCAGGACCTGATCACAACTTTGGCGTTTACTTTTCTAGGCGTTGGTGGGATATTGTCCAGTATTCTCCTGGTGTTTCGGGCTGTTTGTTGCATTCCTCCTTAATTCTACCGAATATATACATCCATACGTACATATTCCAGCTTTATGATCTATTTGTTATTTATTCAATTCCACGGATCCTCTATATTAATCCCTTTATGAATCAAATATCCATGCCCTCCTTAAAGAGCCTTTCCATCTACCTACCTGCCTTTCTATGCAAAAGTGAAACAGAAAAGCAAGAAAGAAGCGTAGAGCCCGATGCGCCATGTCCTATCCAACCAAACTAAACTGATCGTTTCCTACCCGGGAGATTCCAATATGATATCGAGAATGAACTATAAGTATAGAGAAAAGGAAAGAAGATAGAAGGAATAAACAAGGTGGTATTAAAGATGTTCTCAGCCGTATGGTATGATATAATATGAGCAGGAAGGAAAGGGGAAATAAAGTATAAAGTGTAGAGTTCGTTTGTGTGTCTGTTGGTACAGTGTAGGTGTAGACATAAATAAGAATAGGAATTCGCAGGAGCTACCCTGGTTGTTTGTTTGGTTTAAGGGTCAAAGGCCAGATAGAAGAGAGGAACTAGGTGAGTGGATGGTACATTTAACCAAAAGGGTGGGATATTCAGAACAATAGGGTAGTAAAAATGGGTAAAGCATGGTATAGAATATGGAAAGAAAGAGGAAAGAAAAGAAAAATAAGGAAGAAGAGGTGTATCCATCCCATCGTATCCTATCCTGTGTTGTATTCATGGTCCTCCTATGTGGTCTCAGAACAATAATGTGCAATGCAATGTACAAGGGAATCCATTCAACTATAACGCCAGAAAGAGGAGTGCAGAAGAAGAAAAAGAAGAAGAAGGGGTTGTTATATCCGCATCTTAGCCAAAAACCTTCAGGAAGCCCCAGAGTCCAATTCCACTCAAGATGGGGATGGTGAAGTTATCGTCCAAGCCGAACAGGTCCACGAACTCGCTTCCGGCAGCAACAATGCCGGAGACGACGCTCATGACGCCCAGGGCCAAGGGACCTGTGATGACGGTTTGGGAGGAATCGGCTGTCCATCCGATCAGACCCTTGACCGAGTCTGGGATGAGGTTCAGGCGGCCGGTGAACATGAAGGCTCCTTCAGGGTCATTGGGGAAGGTGCCGACGTGGGGAACGAAGTAGCCCCAGAATGCAGCGGCAGTGATGACTCCGACTAGCCAGGCGCTCAGGGTACCGGCGAAACTCTTTCCCTTGCGCAGGTTGAAGGTGTAACGGCCATAGAGGCGGCCGAACGTGGAGGCGGCAGTGTCGCACCAGCTGAGCAGGAGGACACCCATGACGCCGACATCCTTGGGGAAGAAGCGTAGGACGGCGTAGGCGCCCAGCAGGTACCAGATCACACCGTTGTATCCCGAAACCTCGGTTTCCCGCATCAGGGCTCCGACACAGCGGATGTAGAGCTTGTTGACTGTCTCCGAGCGATGGCGAATCAAGTCTGTTGCGGCAATAGGCACAAGCGCGGAGAAAAGCCAGGGCGTTATCTGTAGGGTTTGTATCCCGCGGCTGTACAAATGTAGAGTGAGGAAGCCGATTGACACGTGAAGAAGCTTGCGTGGTATCTCATGGCGGTGGATGAAACTGCGGTACCGCGCGTGGAGTGGGATCAGACCCAGGGGCGACGGTGACCGGGAGATTTCATGTAATACACCGTCGACCTTGGTAGCGATTGGCGACAAGTAACCGTTGGTTTTGCCATGTCCATTCGTCTTGGTGTCTGGGCTGTCTGCCGGTATCATTGGGTTTGACTTTCTCTTGCGTCGACGGACCGACCCCGGCGCATTCTTCGGATTGCGACTTGGGGTTCGCGAACGATTCAGCTCCGGATCCGAGTCATCATTATCCTCTTCCACGACCTCCCCTAAGCGTTGTCGCCGTGCTGCAGAGCGAGTTGTAGGACCTGCATATCCGTCTCGTGATGTTGACCGAGTTTCCGAGGGTGCCGGTGAAGGAGAAATGACCCGCGGAGTCTCCGGGATGGCGTCTTGGGGGGAAGACATGTCGCCCCTTAGAGCGAAGGGTGGAAGGATCGGTCTCTGGATGAGCCCGGATAAAGGCTGCTGGCGCAGAGACAGGCGATCGCAGGCAAGGATGCCAGAAAATAAAAAGCGGTCTGCTGCGAACGACGCAATGGTGGGCGACTTTATGGAGGAAGACGCTCCACAGGACGAAGGAGGGGGATCAACAGAATAGGTGATTTATAGATGAGAAGGTGGGAAGAGGGACAAGTTGTAGGTACAGCCGCACATCACGTTCCAGATATACAGAGCAGAGATTGGCATAACACACGGAGCCCGAGTGGCAGTGGAAGCGACGAGTCTGACAGCTTGTCGCGTGAGAAGAAAAGAAAACTGTTGCTCTTCCGCCGAATCCGTATGCGGTCACGTGTCGGCATAATGACTCACCGCCCTCGGTATCTAATCGGCGATCTTTTTGATAAGCATTTTTTCGTTTTTTCTAATCGATGTCGGAGCGGATGAATGCATTGATTGTCTGTTGATCGTCGCCGGTATTTCTATCGTCTCCACGCCATCGTTTCGGGATAGACCCCTCAAAGGTGTCAATTTCGATCGCACCGCCATGGCTCCTAAACCACCCTCCGGTGCATCTGCCAGATCCTGGGATGCCGTGACGCCGCCTCTGTCGGAATGGGTGCTGGACGCGGTCTCCTCCATGGGTTTCACGAGGATGACCCCCGTGCAAGCTTCATCCATTCCGTTATTCATGGCGCATAAGGACGTCGTCGTGGAGGCAGTGACCGGAAGTGGAAAGACATTGTCTTTTCTGATCCCCGTGGTGGAAAAGCTCCTGCGCCTGGAGGAGCCCATTAAAAAGCATCATATTGGCGCTATCGTGATTTCTCCGACAAGGTAGCTTATTACTCCTGCAAAAATACTCGAGTGACGACTTCCCGCTAAGTTTGTATACAGAGAACTTGCATTGCAGATCTATAACGTCCTTAAGTCTTTACTAGCCTTCCACCCTCCATCCGCTGCCGCCCTCAACACTTCGGACGATGACAGTGCGCCGCGCAAAAAGGAATCTTCCTCGACCCTCAAAGTTGTCCCACAGCTGCTGCTCGGAGGTGGAACCACGCCTGCAGAAGACTTGAGCGCCTTCTTGAAGCACTCGCCGAACTTGCTGGTGTCGACCCCGGGGCGACTCTTGGAATTGCTCTCCTCTCCTCATGTTCACTGCCCTCAATCGTCGTTCGAGATGCTCGTGTTGGACGAAGCAGACAGACTGCTGGATCTTGGCTTCAAGGATACGTTGCAGAACATATTGCGTCGACTGCCCAAACAAAGACGTACGGGACTGTTCAGTGCTAGTATCAGTGAGGCCGTTGATCAAATTGTCCGAGTTGGTCTGCGCAACCCGGTAAAGGTGTTGGTTAAAGTGAAGGGCACTTCGGGCGTACAGGACAAGCGTACGCCGGCCAGGTTGGTACCTCCTCAAGCTCTTTTAATTACTCTTTTATAACCAACGATATCACAGTCTACAAATGACCTACCTTACCGTACCCCCGTTGCACAAATTCTCCGCCTTAAAACACATCCTCTCCTCCGTTCAACCGACACCGCAAAAAACAATTTTTTTCCTGTCGACCTGCTCCGGCGTCGACTACCTTTCTGCGATATTCCCTCTGATCCTAGGCGAAGATTTCCAACTCATCCCACTCCATGGAAAGCACCCAGCAAACGTTCGCGAGAAAAACTTCAACCGCTTCGTAAATTCCACTACCCCCGCAATCCTGCTCACCACCGACGTTGCGTCCCGCGGACTGGATATTCCCTCCGTTGACCTTGTCGTTCAAATCGACCCTCCATCTGACCCGAAGACCTTCATCCATCGTTGCGGCCGTGCCGGCCGTGCCGGACGTCGGGGTATTAGTGTCGTCATGCTGCATCCGGGACGTGAGGAGGATTATGTCTCGTTTCTTGAGGTCCGCAAAACGCCCGTGACGCCCTTCCCGCATCCCATCACCGTCTCCGATACCGAGGCTGCCGCCGACATCGACAAAGCGCGCAAAGCGGCGCTGAAAGACCGTGCCCTGCATGACCGGGGTCAGAAGGCTTTCGTTAGCTGGCTGAGAAGTTACAGCAAACACCAAGCAGGCAGTATCTTCCGGGTTGCTGACCTGGACTGGGAAGGGCTGGGTAAAGCGTGGGCACTGCTCAAGCTACCCAAGATGCCTGAGCTGAAGAAATTTGAAGGAGACAAGACTCTTGGCGTGGATATGGATTGGAATGCCTTCACGTACAAGGACAAGCAACGAGAAAAGCGTCGCCAGGAGGCCCTGAAGGAGGCTGCCGAGGCTGGGCCACAGGAGAACCCGAATAAGCGAAAAGCCAGCGAGAATGTGGCCTGGAGTAACAAGGCTGACGACAAGAACAAGAAGTTGAAGCGACGGGAACAGAAGCATGCGCGACAGGAGAGGGACAGATGGGAGAAGATGACGGAGGAAGAGCGACAGAAGGTCCGGGAGACAGAGGGCATGGTGGCCAAGATCAAGGCGAAGAATGACGAAGAGCGGCTACTCCGACGAGAAGCCAAAGCCGGAGGAAAGTCTGCTGGCGGCGAGGATGAATTCGAAGGATTTGATGACTGAGTGAGAAGAAAACCAACCCTTGAACGGCCCGTTGATTGATACCTACCTTCCTACCTACTTGTACTCTACTTTATATCCGTCTTCCTCCTTCATCTAGACACATAAAATCCTCCCTTGTAAATAAAAATCAAAAGCCACCTTGCTATTGTAGTCCCTTCCTCCCCCCCCCCCCTGACGATCAAAAACTACCCTACCATTCACGTTGTCAGTGCGCGACATGTCTCATCTGCGGCTCGATAACTCGGATACCTGACCACCGACAAAGAGGATGTGAATGCCCTCATCAACGCCTGCTACTGGACCTTCTCCAGTAACATATTCAGCTACCACACCGACAGCTATATTATCATGTCTCCAAAGTCTATGCAATCTGGCTCGACACATGCGGGAATGGTGGTTCTCAGAAAAAAACTGACAGTTGTAAGTACTGGGAAAGGAACGCACGACGTGTAGAAAGCGTAGGGGTAGCTTTGACGATCGGTCACCAGCAGGTGGCGGTTGTACACGTCGAAGATGCGCGCCGCCCAGGCCTCATATCGCGCCGCATCCTCAATCGAATCCCCCCCTTTCCAAAATCATACATATTCAAATTAATCAGCCTTCATCACTGTCTCCTTCCTTCACACTAATACCCTCATCCACTTCCCATCTACATGGCCATTCACTCCATGAGTCCCTACCCAACTTGAGGCTTCCCTCCCAGCGTCCGACTCCACCACCTCTATCCCCGTTCATGTCCCTCTTTCGCCCGACCTAAGCCGCCTCCTCCGCGACTGCAACGAACGATAAACAGAATATGCAAGGGAAGCCGTATTCACATTTGCAAGAGAAATCGTCCTCAAGCCAGAGCCAGAACCTCTCTAATCTCCCCTCCTTCCTCTCCTTCCCCTTTCCCCCCTCAACTCAATCCCAAAAAGCCTAGGATCCACCCCATAAAACCTCGGATCCCTTCTTTCCATTTCATCAAACGCTTCCTGGGTCATCGGAAAGGCGTGAGCCATTCTGGCATAACTTGGTGCTCCAGGTCCAGTGCTAGGCCTAGGCCTCAATACAACATCGCCGGCCGCTTGCATTTGCCCGATCCGGTTCATATCGGTTGGCAGTTGCATCTGGAAATGATGTTGTCGAGCCGGTGGCAGAGGAAGCGGTCGGTAGTTCGGGATATGAGGATCTGGATCATTCGAAAGTGGGATAATGCCGCCGGCACAAAACCAACAATGCCGAAAGCCGACAAGAGGGTCGAATTCAACGCTTGGACACACCTGGATGATGGGGTTCGGGTTCTCGTTTGGGGAAGGTTGGGACTGGGCTTGCGGGCATGGACGGACTAGTCGGTAGAAGGTGCAGGTGCAGGGGGGTGCGTTGGGTTGGTAGAGGCACATCTTTCGTTCGTCTTTCGATTCGGCGGCTTCTTGGTGTTGTTCTTGCTTTTCGCTGTCTGGTTTGGGATCGCGGTTGAGATGTCTGTCTGGTTTTTGTTGTGGGTTCTTTTTGGTGATTGGAGAAGGTCGAGAGGCAGGATGTAGGTGGTTTTGGGCTTTAGACTGGTGGTTCTGTAGTTGTAGGAACTCTGAGAGATGGATTGAGAGGAAGAAAAGGATGAAGAGAGGGGTTAGAAAGAGTGGTTTTTATGCCAGATTGTAGAAAGATCGGTCATGAAGAGAATGGTCTCTCTTTGCTGCAGAGTTTCTGTTGCAGAGTCAGTGCGTGGGTTTGAATTGGATGCTGGCCAGACGGTCTCTCCTGAAGCCGTGCAAGGAAGACAAAGATGAACCGATTACACGGGAAACATCAATTGAAAATTTGTTCATTGTTAATTGCTAAAAACAGGATGCAACTCTTTTTTATTGCGCAAACGCCTGGAGTACAGCTCTCAAATGAAATGCAAATGCAAGGCTCAGACACGGCCCCAAGCGGGGAGATGATATCAAAAACTCCTCCGCTGAAATCGGAAAACAAGAAACAAGAAACAAGATTACACATGAGAATCAAAAAAAAAGGTCCACAGATCCACAAAACAATTAGCCTAGTTCATCAAATCAAGCAAGGGGAAAGAAGCAGGAAGGACGTCTGACGGAGGGGTCTGCAACATTCAACGTAAAGCTGAAGGAGACTGCAACTCGCGAATAGAGAAAAGAAGAAAGACTTTCAGCAGGAGGGCCTGCAAACTTCAAATATAGGTTGAAGGGATCCACAATCGAAATGACGAGCAGCCTCAAACTTCAACTGGGAGGTCGAAGGAGTCCACAAGCGAAGAATCCGAAAGGGACCTGCACATTTCAACTTAAAATTGAAGGAGACCGCAACTTGCGAGAAAAAGACATAGACGAACATTCAACAGAAGGGCCTGCAACTTCAACTTGGGGGCTGAAGGAGTCCGCGGCTGGAAATGCCCGTACAAGACGATCCATGAACGAAGCTTCGAGTATTCCACATACAGCGAAAATTCCTGAACCAACCGTCTGAGCCCGGCAATCTTTTTGACTGCAAGAAGAGGGAAAATCAGACGGTCAGGCAGTCAGGCAGAAATGTTCAAAGAAGATAAAAGAATAACAAGAAAATATGCATACATGCCAGAAACCAGAAACAGAAGACAAGAAAAACAGAGTTGAATTAAGTAGAAGAAAAAAAGGCAACGCTTCGTCACAATGAGTATGAAGTCATGAGAAGGCTTTATGCCTGCTGCTTGAATTCTTCGAAGCCTTGACAGAAGAGATTGTGAGCCTCATCGACCTCAGAGTCGTTCCACACTTTAGCAAGAACATCAATGGCAGTTTGGCTAATCTCCAGACTTTCCTGGTAGCCCTGCTTATCTGGCCACTGGAATTGGGTAAGATCGCCAGAGGGACAGTGTTCATAAAGCCATTGAGCATCTTGGGCAAATTCGTCATCACCGAAATCCTCAACAGGCGCGCTCTCGATGCGAGCATCCGGGGTGATAGTCATAGGACTAGAGTAGCGACTTGCGGTGCGAAGGCGACTGGGGGTTTTGGGTTTGTGTTTTTCGGCCAGAGACCGAGCCTTTGCGAGAGCTTCGTCGTCTACCGCGGCTGCTGGAGTTGATGTAGGGATGATCGAAGTCTGACGAGGTGTAGCAGACGGCGCAACTGAAGGTGCAGGAGAAGGTGTAGGAGATCGAGGGCTAAAGCGGAGTATGTTAGATCTTCTGGTTCTCAACGCCATAACCCTGTCAGAATAAACGTACCTTTCGACGAGTGGAGTCTCCGCAGCAGGTGCAGGGCTCGGAGCAGAAGCGCTTGTGGGAGAAGACGGTTCACTAGATTCAGAAGAGTCATCTGAGAAGGCGTCGTAATCAAGCTGGAAAGTTCCCTGCGTGTTGGGGATGAATCCCGGACGAGTGCGAGGGTCGACAACCGGAGACGGCCCGTACAGGTCTTCCTCTTCCTCTTCGACAAACGGAGCGGGGCTGGGCGCGTTCGGAGTAGGCGACGGAGGTGCAAAGCTGGACGAAGGGGATCCACTGCCCATGCCGATGAAATGAGATCCAGTGTAAGGGTCGGTAGCGCGGGCGCGAGTGCGAAGTTTCGATGGAGTGTCCTCGGGGCTAGCGTCGAATCGGACCTTTTTAGATGCAGCTCGATCTGAGCGGAGAGCACTGCGCACAGCAGTTCTAGCCAGACCGTTGGCCTGCTGAGGAGCAGTAGACTGCTCAGGTGCCTCATCCTCGCTCTCAGAGCTGTACCAGAAGTAGTCGGTATCCATTCCGTAGCTGCAGCCAGGCGGGTTGGGAATAACGTCGGGCGACGGCGCACGCTTGCGCTTCTTCTGCTTGTTAGAGCTAGCCTGCTGCGGAGTCTCGCGTCCTCTAATCTCTTGAGCCTGAGTAGCCGATGATGCGTTTTCGATCTGAGCAGAGGATTCCGAGATGACGGTGGTGGTAGAGGTGGGAGTTGGTTCATTAGGACGTGTATCAACGGCAGACGACTGTGAAGTAGGCTGCAGAGAAGCAGACTGCAAGGTGGATGGCTCAGGTAAATCCCGGAGGGGAGTGGCGATATCACTAAGATAGAGTGACTTGTCCATTGGACGTGGCCAAAGAGAGTATTCAAGATTCCGACGCTTCTGGGCCGGCTCACCAGTAGTCATGCGACGAGACCTCCAGGACCGGAACTTGGCTTTGGCAGCGGGAAACTCTGGCTCAGTATCCACTGTGCGGTCGATACGTTCTGAAGCCGGCTGCTTAGTGGTCTCAGAGTTCAAAGACGGCAATGATTGTTCGGTCTGTTTAATCTGCGCTGACGACCGGCGGCCGAGACCCGGGATGAGTCGAGAGAAAGAGCGAGGCACAGAATTGAGCAGACCGCGAATGTTCCAGCCTCTACGAGGCGTTTCGGGCAAGGCCGAGGAAAGGGCTGCTGAAGGCTGTTCTAAAGTGGGTTCAGCGGGCGCGTCTTGAACTGGCTGGTCCTGGTCCTGAGATTTCTCCGAGTCTTCTGGGGCATCGACGTGCGTCAAGGGAGGTTCCGGAATTGCACTCTGTTGGCTAGCGGTCTCCGCTGCTTGGCGATCGGCCATCTCCTGGGCTATATACTCTGGGAGCCTGAAGACAGTCCGATGGATTCTTCCGTTTCTCTCTGCCTGCCGTCGCCGCAACCTTTCTGAGTAAGGCACGGACGTCGACGATAATCGACGGGAGAGAGGGGGGAGTCTCCGGGCGAAAGGGGTACTTCCCGGGACCCCCAGGTTCCGACGCTTGTTAGCAATCGGGGTCTCTGGGCCCCCCGCAGCCGTTTCCTCGTCGCTCACGACGGAACGGGTGCGCTTCCTATTGACTTTCTTGGGCGTTAGTGTTTTGTTCTTTTTGCTCACACGAGATGGATCGCGAGCATCCAGGCAGCGGGAAGTCTCCTTGGGAACTATCGGGGATTGGGAGGCAGCCGAGGCAGCCGATGCTCCGGCGGCAACCTCTGTACCCGCACCTACCTTTGAGCGACCGAGGCCGGGACTCATCTCCGTCTCAGACTGCTCCGGAATTGGAGAGAGGGTCACCGGCACCCGCGGCCGAGAACCCGGGGCAGAAGTCGAGGGCCTAACAGGCACCGACACGGTATGCGATGGCTCGCCGGGTTCTCGAACCGCAGCTGGGCTGAATTGAGGGATTCGTTGACGACCCTCAGCCAAAGTCTTCGGCACCAACACCCTTCGCTCATCCCTGACCCGAGCCCAAAAGAATGACGGATCGTCATAGTACGTTCGCGGGCGGGCCAGGGATATTAAGCTCGGGGTCTGTTGAGCCTGCCGCCGTGCACAGTCCCCAATGTAGGGAAGTCCGAAGAACGGTGGGGACTCATCGAAGATCGATGGCCCCCGCGGCTCAACAGGAGCAACGGAGACAGCCGCCTGCGAGGCGTGTTCAGAGGAACCACCATCAACGGTCGAAGACGCGCTGGTGGGGTCTCTCGCAGGCCGCACTGTCTCCAGATGCCACATTGGGCTGTCGGACGAACCCGAGGAGACAACAGCTGCAGGTCGCGGAACGGATTCCGCAAGACCCAACTTTGTAAAATGTTGAGTCAGGTCGTCCGCCTGCTCAGACACTGCAACTGTCTCACCCCCGGAGCCCATAACGGAAGTCGAGAGGGAGCTAGCTTCGGACTGCTGGTTGATATCTTGGTCGCATCCCTGAACTGCGACTGACTCCATTGACTCCGCTGTGGTTGGCTCTGCCACAGCTGGTGACTCAAAGGTGCTTGGTGCTTCGGACTGCTCCCAAGCAGAATCCTAAGTGGATTGGACACAGTGGCTCGCCCCTCGGCCCTCCTGGAGAGTGTCACGAGCCAGGAGGGCCCCCCTCATCTGCATAGAAAGAAGCTCGTCGAGTTCGCCATCGGCAAACAAAGGTTCATCCAGCAAAGGGGTCCTTGATCGTTCGCAAAGGGGCGAGCCAATGTCGCTGATGTCCCCGAATAGATATTCGGTCCACGAGGCACGGATGGTTCCCAAGGGAGGAAGGTTGGAGATGTTAAGGGTGGGAGCATTGGGGGAAGAAGGGGCAGGGGAATGGGGGGAGGCCCAACAGGCCGGCGTAGACGGTGGCGAGCTTGGGGTCGACTCACTTTGGGTGTCATCCTTCTCAGCTAAAGCCTGTTCGGCAGTAGCTGTATCGGACTCGTTATTCTGGACCGCATAGTCGGCGTTTTCTTTGTTTTCGTCGGTTTCTGGGGTTGTCTCCGGCGTCTCGTCTGTATGGGTTTCGGGCTCTTCGGATGTGGCCTTCGCGGTCCTTCGCGTCGACTTCCGGGTGGCTTTCGCGGCGGGCTTAATGGAAGCAGCCTTGGTGGCTTTATTCTTGGTAGTTGTGGTGGGTTTCTTCTTGGTCAAACGCTGGCCCTTTGCGCGAGGCGCGGGCTGTTTAGAAGGCACAGAAGGTTCTTCTTCGGTGCGATCGGTGGCATTTGTGGTATTGGCAGGTTTGGTCTGCGAGGCGCTTCGGGTCGACCGAGTCCGACGAGATGTATTCTCGAGAGAGACGAAGTTGCCAGGTGACTGCTGCTGAGAACGAGTACGCATTGTGGAAGACTTGCGTCACTCAAGGGCGACGGACAGATGCGCTCGAGGTCACAGCGAACGAAGTTCTAACAGGGATGCTAGCTGTTTGAGTAGCTCAATTTTATTTTATTTTTTAGAAAAAAAAGTAGTAAGCGTGTAAATCAAGCAGATTCCGGTTCAGAAAGGCTTGCAAGATGGGTTAAAGACTTGGGATCGATGCTGTGGTGGATGATGTTGAGACGAGAAGTGAGAGATGGGAAGGTGGTGGTGGTGGAAGAAAGAAAGGGAAGAGGAAGAGGAAGTGGCGGGGGATAAATATTGCCTTGTTGTGGTCATGCGCGTCACGTCCCCTCGGCGACTGGTGAGTGCGACAGCATTCACTTACCTGGACCAGGAAGCGTGAGGTGAAAGTTGGAAGTTGTTGCAACTGCCTGCGCTTGAAAATCAAAAATCGGGGGGTGCTGACCGGCAAAACAGGGAGCGGTCAATGTGCGCGCCAATCACGTCGCCCGTCCCCCGTCGCTGGCTTCTATACTTCGCCTTTTCTAGATGCGCACGCCATAGAACTTCTCTAGGAAGTTTCCTGTAAAAATGACCGAGGTTAGACATTCTACTCCTCATTGGCCTTGCGAACCACAATGTCATCTGTCTTGGAGGGCTGGCGTCACCGTTGAGGGAATGTCCTTCCAACCCGAATCCTGTATCTGCGCAATAACTAAGTAGTGAATGACTGTCAAGTGATCAACCTAGAGGACTGCCGAGGTGAATCTTAAAAGTGGCCTGTAGTAGCGGTGAAATACGTAGGTCCTGGTAATACAAGGATCTTTCCCCTTTCAAAAGGGATTTGCACGGAAATTCTATCTAATTTCAACGTTGTAGAGCAAAATATATTTATACAAGGTAAATCTTTCCATAGGTATGAAAAGGAGAGACGCGGTGAACCGCCCGCTCTATAGCACACACACGCTAGGAGAATCAAATACCATAAGGTTACATGTAGATGTTCAGATGGAAGGAAATAACAAAAGAAGGGGGGGGGATGATACACAACGCTTCCGGTCCATTACATACTAATCTCGCCCTTCCAAGCAGCATCGGAAAGTCCCAGGCTCTCAACCAAGTTCTGCCATCTCGGGCCACCCCGTTCCTTTCTTCGCACGTATTGCAGTAGCTTCTGTCGCTTGTGGACCAGTATCCGGAGGTTACGCTTGTTGTGCTTGTCCTTGTTGGATGTTTGAAGGTGCCTGGTTAGGTTCAGGATCTTCGCAGTCAAAATGGCAGCCTGGACTTCCGGGGATCCGGTATCGGGCCCGACACGAGGGGTCTTCTCGAGGGCAGCGGTGCCGGACTGCTGCGACGGAGCTGCCGGCTTGGGGGGAAGCTTCTGGTCGGTGTTGTGGCGTCCGAATTCTTCAATGCACTTCTGAATGTTTAGGCGCATCTTGTCCTGGGTGTTGCCGTTGCCCACGCTCGCGATGCGGTTGAGAGCCTCCTCGGCATTCTTGTGATCTTGAATGTGCTTTTCGCCCAGTTCCTTCTCGAGCTGAGGGTCGGCGACATTTCGGTCGGGGTTTTCGATCGGGGAGGTGAGGTTTTTCGAGTACTCGAGCACATGCTGGAGATCTTCGGAATCAAGGAAGTAGTTGAGTTTTCCGTCCGATCCTGAGGGGATTTGAGGTCCGGATTGGGTGTCCTTGAGACCCTGGATGAAGGCAGTCGGGCGACTTTCCACCGGATCCCCTAAGGAGCCCTCGCGCTCTTTAGAAAGAGCCTCTTGACGGGACAGGTTGGCGGCTTTGCGTCGACGCGATTGCGCCATCAAGAACGGGTCATGTCGTCGTCTCTCTCTAGTCTCCGCGGAACCTGCTCGGATCGATGTCTTCGAAGTGTTTAAGGACAATGCGGCAAGCGGACTCTGGATGTATGAAGAACCTGGAGAAGCGCGGTCACTGTTAGTAAGTGGGCTCAGGGTTGGGGGGCAACAAAGATAAGATGGAGTATACCAGTAAAGGCCTTCAAAGAAGGCTGGATAAGAAAGCGAGGAGGCATTGCGGTTCACTAGTTCGGTATCTGGGGAGAGGCAATCGACCAGCTTTTCGACCCTTCACGGCCTTTGGGGACACTCGAAGTTCTCTTCCCGAAATCTCAAGGCCGCATACCACGCTAGTCCAGATATGGATAGGACCTTCCACGTGACTCTCCGGACGGATCGGAGGAGGCTCCGCAGGCCATGCCCTAGACTAGCCCTAAAATTCACAAACGGCAAGCGAAATTTCATCGATCATCTCGGCGCGGATTGTCAAGGTTTCTCTTTCGCGTCGTCAGTCTCTTCCTCGCCATCACCACCGCGACAAGCGCCAGACGATTGATATATTCAATTCGCCGTCCTTCGCAATATCAATCGCCCACCATGGCCCCTTCTCAGCTCCCCCCCATCTTCAACCCTACCTCGCAGGACATTGAGAACCTGCTGGCGGCCCAGTGCCACCTTGGTTCCAAGAACCTTCAGGTGCACATGGAGCCTTACCTCTGGAAGACTCGTCCCGACGGTGTCAACGTTCTCAACATTGGCAAGACTTGGTACGTGTGGTCCAGCGAAACGCCGGAACAACGCCTATAAATTGGAATGAAATCATTGGGAGGAAATTCGAGATCTAACATGCGATTTTCATGATTGTAGGGAGAAGATTGTCCTGGCTGCCCGTATCATCGCTGCCATCGACAACCCCGCCGATGTCTGTGTGATCTCCGCTCGTCCCTACGGCCAGCGTGCTGTCCTCAAGTTCGCCGCCCACACCGGTGCCACCGCCATCGCCGGTCGTTTCACCCCCGGTAACTTCACCAACTACATCACTCGCTCTTTCAAGGAGCCCCGTCTCATCATCGTGACCGACCCCCGCACCGATGCTCAGGCCATCAAGGAGGCTTCCTACGTCAACATTCCCGTCATCGCTCTCTGCGACACTGACTCCCCCACCGACTTCGTTGACGTTGCCATCCCCACCAACAACAAGGGTCGTCACTCCATCGGTCTCGTCTGGTGGATGCTTGCCCGTGAGGTCCTCCGTCTCCGTGGCACCCTCGCGTCCCGTGAGGTTGACTGGGACGTTGTTGTCGATCTCTACTTCTACCGCGACCCCGAGGCCGAGGAGAACAAGGAGATTGCCGACGAGACCAAGGTCCCCGGTGCTGAGGAGATCGGCGCTGGTGCCATCGAGTCCGGCTTCGCTGGTGAGAACTGGGACACTCAGGGTGCCGGTGCCGGTGTTCCTGGCACTGCTTTCTCTGCTGCTACTGCTGCTGCTGGCGCTACCAGCTGGGAGGCTGACGGTGGCGACTGGGCCGCCAGCGGTGCTGCCCCTGCTACTGAGAGCTGGGCTGAGACCCAGCCCGCTGACGCCAAGTGGTAAACAAATTTTAAACAAAATGGTGACGAGGACAGCTGATGAGGAGGGACATGATATCTATTTTTTCTTTTTAAAAGAATATGGCGAAATTGAAGGGGGGAAAGACTTGATACTTAAATCAATAATTTCGCCATTCCTTTGACGAATACCCGACATCTCCCGCAAAAAGAAGAAATTCCCCTTCGCATGTCTTATCCTAGTCTCTGTTCGCAAAAAATATTCAAAACCGAAAGTGAAAAAAGTGCAAAAGAAGCCTTCGATTGGAAACCGTTCAACTTCCAACACTTCCCTTTTTTCCTTTCCGCCCCTGGTATGCCGCGGTGTCCTTTTTGTTTCCTTTTTGACCAGACCTTTTTTATGTCGTGTTTATGGTGCATCGGGGAGGAATTGCATTGTCAAAAATTGACCGGCACTTACGAGGGAAAGAGATCCAGTTGTTCTGTTTGCTCAGTGAACTCCTGGGGGAAAGCCCTGTGCTGTCGATTTCACAAGGTGTACTTGATCGTTGCCTTGGTTTCTCCTTGTGTGTTTATCATATTCGTACTCGAAAAGTGATGCTAGCTACCATGTATCTTCCACCGTGTTTCTGTAGTTTGTAGTGCGTAGACGGTAACCCTGTAATTATGGAATTTCCGCGTAGGCTGAGAGCTCTAGTAATTACATAAATTCTCAAATCACTCGTTCGAACCCTGACCTACGAGATCGTCCTCACGAAGCAGGCATTCATAAATCCATTAGTACGGGTATCACAAATTATCACATCACAGTACAACCTCCCTCAGTCTGTCCCCCTTTTTCCGTAGTCGTCATTCCGGCCAGCCTCGCTAAATCCTCAAACGTCTCTGCCAAAAGCTCACCGGTAACAGCAGAGCACTCTGCGTATCGATCACAGCGAAGTTCCTGGGCAATGCGATACGACTACATTCAGTCAGCTGCGGTCCACACAGAAATTCACTAAGAGAGGATGAAGTAGAGTACCTCTTCCGGGTAGATCAGGGTTTCGTCGTCGACTCTCAGGTCTCTTTTGAGGCCTATCATCATGACAGGGATGCGTTCGCCGATGCCATGCTGGAAGTACCGGATGATGTCTTGTCGCCACTGAATAGCCTGGAATGAGCAAGGCGCCTTGTCTGGTTAGAAAGCAAGGGCTCGGCGACTCACGCTTTTAAGCCCCGCTAAAGTTTCTCGATTGGAAATATCAAATGCTAAAAGGACCACATCCGGCTTCAGAGTAGTCCAGTGTTGGTTGGGACTGGCTGTGTCGTATAATTCGAGGGTGAAGGATTTCTTAGAGAAACGGATGTCGTAGAGGAGGGGTTGGTCAGAGTCCCGCAGAAGCTCTATACCATTTTCTCGTGTCGTAGCATTTTGTCCTCTGGGTCCATTTGGGCCATTCTTCAAGCGTCTGCATCGGTTCTTAGCATGCTGTATGTACCGAATATATATAAAACGCATGAACTCACGACAGAAAAGTTGACTTCCCACATCCTGGATCTCCCAAGAGGAGTATAGTCACCGTGGACTCAGGATCCCGACGAGCTTCTGCATCAGCCATGAGAGAATACGTAGCTATACTTCGTGAAATTTGAGGATACTGAATGATGTTGGATCATGGGTCTTATCACATTGTGATAGATTTGGTTATCTAATCACTAATGACCTTATCTCAGCGTTTTGCGCTAAGCCGTTTTCAGCTACACGGCCTGCACGCCTGAACTCTAGTCCAAACGCGGTCTTTACTGTCTCCCCAGGTCCTCTCTGGTTACTACTATGGAGTACTGACAACAACATCTTGGCGCCGCGCTATTGAACAACGAGTTTTTCATCATAATTCATCTCCACTGCGAGCGGAAGCCGACTGTCACCCGAATCGATTCTTCAAAGGAGTTACCGAGCGCGGCTTCTGATTCGGCAGGCAACCAGATGCCGTTCTAACCGTGTTGGACGCTTGACGTCTGCCTTTGCAACAAAGGGCTTTTTTGACCCTCAATGAAAAGATAATATACTGTATTATCCTTTTGTTCTTGCTGTCAATGTTATCTTCGATTCTCCTACGGAGTACATTGGTCTCAGCGAAACTTCAGTCTCAGAGCGATACTGCGTAAATGGCGCTGGAACGTTTCGGCCATGACCTTAGGTGTTTTTGCCCGGCTTCTCTTCAATTTCCGGTACATATTTCATCCGCTGCTTCAAGTCAGTGGTGAAAGGCTCATGGGACATGATAAAGAAATAATAAAGTCTGTTTGGTTCGCTGGCCAGACAGTTTGGACCCTTTGGAACCAAGCGCTTGGCAGGTTTCCACTTCATGGTGGTTGACGTTTCCTTCGAGTGCCTGAAAGCCGTGTCAACGTCCTCGGTACGCTTTTATACATCCGCGGTAGATCGTTATGCTAATCAAAACTATCATAGTCCACCTAAGATTAGCCATGGACTGAACATAAAGAGAACCGGGTGGGAACCCGGGTAGATCGGGATCGTCCGAACGGAAAGTCGGATACGCCACGAGATTCGTGATACCGTGGGTTTCGGCTTCGGTCTACCACAAGTCGAATTTGCCCGTGAAGATGAAAGGCTACGGGAATATATTTCCTGTTCGAAGGAATCCAGCAGTTCCAAAAACGACACGCTTTATCATCAATTCTACTTCATAATGTTGGGCCACGGCAGCCCCGGGAGAGTCTGCTTGAAACGAAATAGAGAGCTATGAGACAAATCCCACACAAGGACATTCTCGAAGAAGACTAGAACAGGACCCGCTGGGCGAGCCATTGATAGCTATCAGTGTCCAATCTGATGTGAAACACCCGGTGGGCCAAATATGGATTTCCAATCCGTCGTCTATCATCTGTGGGCTTGTGGGTGGCAGTGATTGCCGATAGCCGTCAGCCCTTCTGTCTCTTACTCCGTACATGGTCCGTACATGGTCTTCCAGAATGATTGCCAATGTACTCAGCCAATACTCCACCCGCGGGTGTTCGGCCCAGCAGAAGAGCAGCTGCGATTTATATAGTGCCTGCGCGCCATTTCAGAATGGATGAGCAATAGTTTATTTATTATCTTTGGTTGTTTCTATTGGAATACAAATGAGAAGCTCATCAAAGGAACTTCGTTTATTTCGACAGTCTCTCACTAAATATGGAGAAGAATGACTTCCCAGACGAATCTTTGCCGTCAAAGTCACCCGTGGCAGAAATGAAAAGCTATGAGACATTAGCCATCCCCAACACGGAAATCAGAGAAGCTCCGAGCGCAGAAACCCTGACTGCCCCTCACGATGACATCGCCCCTCCCTCCAGCAAAGATACAGAATGGAGTATGACACCCCAAGTGATTCGGAACCGGGATCGTGACGCCGCGGCGGGTTTCAAGAAAAGGGAGCTCGGCGTGACATGGAAGAATCTGAGCGTGGATGTTCTCGCAGCCGAAGCTGCAGTCAATGAAAATCTATTCTCCCAGTTCAACATCCCTCAACTCATCAAAGACTTCCGCCGGAAACCTCCTCTGAAGTCCATCTTGAAAGAGAGTCATGGCTGTGTGAAACCAGGAGAGATGCTTCTCGTGCTGGGGCGTCCGGGATCTGGGTGCACCACCCTTCTCAAAATGCTGTCCAATCGACGTCAGGGCTATCATACCGTGACAGGCGATGTGCGGTTTGGCAACATGAGCCCTTCTGAAGCGGATCAGTATCGAGGCCAGATCGTGATGAATACTGAGGAGGAGCTTTTCTATCCCCACCTAACTGTAGGCCAAACTATGGACTTCGCCTCGAAACTTAAGGTTCCTTTCCATCTCCCGGAAGGTATAAAGTCAGTGGAGGAATATACCGCCGAGACCAAACAGTTTCTTCTCGAGTCCATGGGCATTGCTCACACTGCCGATACCAAGGTGGGGAATGAGTTTGTTCGTGGTGTCTCTGGTGGTGAGCGCAAACGTGTGTCCATCATCGAATGCATGGCAACCAGAGGCTCAGTTTTCAGCTGGGACAATAGCACACGGGGTCTTGATGCGAGTACGGCGTTGGAATGGGCCAAGGCTTTGCGAGCTATGACCAACGTGCTAGGACTCTCCACAGTCGTGACTTTATATCAAGCAGGTAACGGTATCTACAATTTGTTTGATAAAGTCCTGGTGCTCGATGAAGGGAAACAGATTTTCTATGGCCCTGCAGCAGCAGCCAAGCCATTCATGGAGAGGTTGGGATTTGTGTATACCGATGGAGCAAATATAGGTATTGTCCTCTTCAGAATGGGCCACACATATAAATGCTAACAGACAAGACAGGTGATTTCTTGACCGGAGTTACTGTTCCCACCGAGCGAAGAATTAGACCAGGATTTGAAAACACATTCCCTCGAAATGCGGACGCCATTCTCTCCGAATACAAAAACTCTATGATCCACGAGCGCATGACATCGGAGTACGAATATCCCACAACTGACACAGCCCGCGAGCGAACAGAGGCATTCAAGGAATCGGTTGCGTTCGAGAAATCCAATCACCTGCCAAAGAATAGTTCTCTCACCACCAGCTTCTGGAAGCAAGTCATGGCATGCACAATGCGACAATATCAAATCCTTTGGGGTGAAAAGTCAACTTTCTTGATCAAGCAGTTCCTATCGCTCGTCATGGCTTTGATAGCTGGGTCTTGCTTCTATAACTCGCCTGCAACTTCCGCCGGTCTTTTCACCAAAGGTGGTGCTGTTTTCTTCTCGCTCTTGTACAACTGCATTGTAGCCATGTCAGAGGTTACCGAATCTTTCAAGGGGCGACCGGTTTTGGTGAAACATAAATCCTTTGCTATGTATCATCCCGCGGCTTTTTGTCTTGCCCAAATCACTGCAGATTTTCCGGTCTTGCTATTCCAGTGTACGATCTTTGCTGTCGTGATATACTGGATGGTCGGCTTGAAAGCTACCGCCGCTGCATTCTTCACCTTCTGGATCATTCTCTTTTCAATGACCTTGGTAAGCTCCCCTCCTTAACATCCATCATAATTTTCTAACAGAAAACTAGTGTATCACGGCTCTTTTCAGATGCATCGGGGCTGGTTTCAGCACTTTCGAGGCCGCTTCAAAGATATCAGGCACAGCAGTCAAGGGCATCGTCATGTATGCGGGCTACATGATTCCCAAACCCAAGATCAAGAACTGGTTCCTCGAATTGTACTACACCAATCCCATGGCGTATGCATTCCAAGCTGCTCTTTCAAACGAATTTCATGGGCAGGAAATTCTATGCGTTGGTAACAGTCTTATCCCGCATGGCGAGGGATACGACGGCGTCGATTCCGCGAACAAAGCTTGCGCAGGTGTTGGCGGTGCTTTGCCGGGAGCGGACTACGTCACTGGCGATCAATATCTTTCTTCTCTACATTATAAGCATTCACAGCTTTGGCGGAACTTCGGCGTCGTATGGGCGTGGTGGGGATTCTTTGCCGTCATCACTATTGTCTGCACGACTTTTTGGAACGCTGGAGCCGGTAGCGGTGCTTCTCTTTTGATCCCGCGCGAGAGGCTCAAGAAATATCAGCATGGCGCCGACGAAGAATCGCAGGTTAAGGAAAAGGAACAGAGTAGGCAGGGGGCAGTTGTCGATTCGTCCAATGACGACGAAAACCTCACCCGCAACACGTCTATTTTCACATGGAAGAATCTTTCCTATACTGTCAGAACCCCCTCAGGTGATCGTGTCTTGCTGGATAACATCCACGGCTGGGTGAAACCGGGTATGCTCGGAGCATTGATGGGCTCTTCGGGTGCCGGTAAGACGACTCTACTTGATGTCCTTGCGCAGCGAAAGACTGAAGGCACGATCAACGGATCTATTATGGTTGACGGACGCCCATTGCCCGTTTCATTCCAAAGAATGGCCGGGTATTGTGAGCAATTGGATGTCCATGAGCCGTTTGCTACAGTCCGTGAAGCCCTAGAATTCTCCGCTTTACTGCGTCAGCCCCGAACCACCACAAAAGAAGACAAACTAAGATATGTCGACACAATCATTAATCTATTGGAGCTCCATGATCTTGCCGACACGCTGATTGGTAGCGTGGGAAACGGCCTTAGCGTGGAGCAAAGAAAACGAGTGACGATTGGCGTCGAACTTGTGTCCAAGCCCAGCATTCTTATATTCCTGGATGAGCCTACTTCGGGGTTGGACGGCCAGTCTGCATACAACACTGTTAGGTTTCTTCGCAAATTGGCTGATGTTGGCCAAGCTGTACTGGTGACCATCCATCAACCGTCCGCGCAGTTATTCGCCCAGTTTGACACGTTACTGCTCTTGGCCCGCGGGGGAAAGACCGTTTACTTCGGGGATATTGGAGAAAACGGCAAGACCATCAAGAATTATTTTGGTAAGTATGGCGCTCGTTGCCCGACCGAGGCGAACCCGGCCGAGTTTATGATTGACGTGGTCACGGGAGGTATTGAGAGCGTTAAGGATATGGACTGGCACAAAGTTTGGCTCGACTCGGCTGAGCATGGGGCAATGGTGACCGAGCTTGACCGATTGATTTCAGATTCCGCCTCCAGACCATCTGGCACCGTCGATGACGGTCACGAATTTTCCATGTCCCTCTGGGAGCAGACCAAGATCGTCACCAACCGCATGAATGTGGCATTATACCGCAATACCAACTATGTCAACAATAAATTTTCGCTGCATATTATCTCCGCCTTGCTGAACGGATTCTCCTTTTGGAGAACCGGCCCGAGCGTGACGGCCTTGAACTTGAAGATGTTCACTATCTTCAACTTTGTTTTCGTCGCCCCCGGTGTGATCAACCAGCTCCAGCCCTTGTTCATCCAAAGGCGCGATATCTACGACACGCGGGAGAAGAAATCAAAAATGTATTCATGGGTTGCTTTCGTCACCGGGTTGATCGTGTCCGAGTTCCCCTATCTTTGTGTGTGTGCCGTCTTGTATTTCCTCTGTTGGTACTACTGCGTCAAGCTGCCCCATGATTCCAACAAAGCGGGCGCCACCTTCTTCATCATGCTCATCTATGAGTTCATCTACACCGGCATCGGACAATTCATCGCCGCATATGCCCCGAATCCCACCTTCGCCGCACTCGTGAACCCCCTCATCATCAGCACTCTGACCCTATTCTGCGGTATTTTCGTACCATATACCCAGCTGAACGTCTTCTGGAAGTACTGGATGTATTACCTAAACCCCTTCAACTACGTCGTTGCCGGAATGCTCACCTTCGACATGTGGGATGCGAAGGTGACCTGCAACGAGGAAGAATTTGCCCTCTTTGACCCTATCAATGGGACATGTGCGGAGTATCTCAAGGATTACATCGCCGGGCCTGGCTGGAGTATCAATTTGACTAACCCGGACGCCACGTCTGATTGTCGGGTTTGTCAATATCAACGCGGTAGCGACTTCCTGCACACCCTTAACATCAACCATTACTACTATGGGTGGCGGGATGCCGCGATTTCGGTGATCTTTGCTATTAGCGGGTATGTCTTGGTCTTTGGGCTTATGAAGCTGCGGACCAAGGCTTCTAAGAAGGCGGAATAGGTGGATTGTTTTTTGAGGGGTGGACTGAATGGTAGTGGAGGATGCAAATGTGCTTTCTAGCGAGTGTTGTTCCTATTTAGATCTGATAGAATGCGTATAGATTATAGACCGATTTTATATAGACCAATCCCCCTTTTTTTTTTTTTTTTTTTTTTTTTTTTTTTGCATGAGGTTGAATTGAGATGCTTATGCTTTCCGCATCCGATAGGGCTCAGCGGCCAGCTCCGGAACGAATACCTAGCACAAAAGTATTCAGTGATTCGTGTCTCACATGGCTTGAACTCTAACTTAGAAGGCGGCCACTAAGAAACACCAGATTTCATATAGAAGTAATCGATTGAAATCTACTGCAGTACAATGTAGATTTTGCATTAGACCTGCAACTAATTGGTATGGAATCCTTATCCGGGACCCTGATCTATGGGTCGACGTCACGCCTACAGTTGAAATGACTGTCTGGCGGTTGCGCTCGCTGCACATGCCTTTCCCATGCTCGGCAGAAACACTAACACGACATTGTGTCGGCCGATTCTGCCCATCGAGTAGGTGTTCGGGTCTGCCGCTGCTTTTCCAAAGGTGTATTCCCATTTCGTATCGAACGCGGCCTCGACGGCATCGGATTCTGCCTGCAAGGCGCAGATCACAGCAATCTCGAATTCACTTCGATGATGTGGTCGGCGTTGATTCTCCATCTAATCCCTCCTCAATTTAGCGTGCCCCCCTTTTTGAATAGGCCTTGCTGTTCAGCTACTTCGATAAATTGAGGCTGGGCTAGTCCCTGTCCTGTTCAGGACTTCGATGTTTGGACCGCATGCAGGCGGGTCGAGCTGGTGATGCTAAACACGTTCCAGACGGTATAAGGAGTATTAGGAGTAATACAAGGTCGTCACTGTAGATTTATCTTTGTTGCAGCTAGGAAGAAAGACCAAGTCTAGATTTGTGACGTTCATCGCGACTGCTTTGAGGGGTTCGCGAGACAGTGAGGGGAGCCACGTGGACTAATGAATAAGGTACTGGGTGGTAGAGACAAGGCCCTGACGACGCTAGCTTCTATAACTAACCAAATATTGTATCTATTAATAAGCCTTTGTCAAAATACTTTTCCATCATATAGAGCTATGAGGAGTAGTACAACTTGCTATGTGGTAGACCTTTCTATGTTGATATGTTAATACTTAATTTCTTTCTTGAAATATCTTATTCAGTATATCTAGGATGCTATGTGACCGGCAGAATTGTCTATTCTAGTATCTTCGTTACCTTTGCATAAACCCTCGTTGGCCCACGCCTTGTCACAGGCAACAGCTTCTCTGAGACAATCTTTAAATCCTCAATCGTTGTATCATGCAATTCAATATCAAAGCATCGTACTAGACGTGCGATTGTGAGGTACATTTCGGCATAAGCGAGACTAGAATCATTTCAGATTAACGTCAGCCGTGTTATATGGACATGCAGATGGCAAACATACCTCATTCCCACACAAACTCGACTGCCCTTGGAGAAGTTGACGATGTACCGTTTCAAGTGGTCAGTTTGTTCGTGGTCTTGGAGCCAGCGCTCTGGATTGAAAGTGCTCGGTTCAGGGAAGAGGATTGGGTCGCGGTGGATGAAATAGGAAATTGAACTCATGGGGGTCTAGGCAAATGTGGATTAATCAGAGTGCAAATAACAATTTGGTTGAAACCGTTGAAGACATACCCCAGGGGGAATGGTATAGTCCTCATACCGCAAAGTCTCCGTAGGTGCTACTCGTGGTAACCGCATGACAGGACCATAGGAGAGCCTAAGGCTTTCGTAGATAACGGCCGTCTGTTCCTTCTCAGTATTTCTCGGGAAGATTACAACCAGGGTTCAACCGAAGAACGCAAAGATTCACCAGAAAAGGCAATTTCTCCAGTTGAGGAACACTCGCCGGACTCGTGGGCGTCGGAATCGCATCCTGCACCTCCGCTCGTAAGCGTTGCAAAACCTGTTCATTCTCGAAGACATAAAAAGTCGCAGTGGTTAGTGCAATCGCCGTAGTGTCCGTCCCTGCTAGGAGAAGAAGTATCCCCTCGTCCTGGAGCCGTTGCGGAGTGCGTTCCGCGGCAGGAATATTCGGATTCGCCAGCCTATGGAAGATTGGCAGTTCTTTAACATCTTCTGTCTTTCGAGCTTCCTCCTTTTTAAGCTCTCCGTTCCATACATCTGCCATTTCCGTGATATCGAAAATAGCCGCCATGCCCGGCTGCACGCGACGCAACGTATCCAGCGGGAGCATTCGCAGCCATTTAACAAGCCACGGCGCATACTGCGTAAAATGGACGAAGCTCAACAGGCGCAGAATCGCACCTCGAATATGATTCCCGAAGTTCTCGAGCTCGAGACAGTTCCAGCATCGCCCATACAGATACTGAGCGATGATATCGGACGCCATGCCCGCGTACGCATCGTCTAAACACACGACCTTCCCCTGATCATTACATGCCTCGCGTAGTCGATTCATTAGTTTCTGGATGCGCTCGTCCACCAGCGGTACCATATCCTTCAGGACTGAGCCGCGGGAAAAGTAACTCCCTAGCAAACTGCGTCGTAAGCGGTGGTGATCGTGCGTGATAGTAGCGACCAGGGAAGCGGGTACCCCGAGACCTGCGACGGTGCCGGCATGTTTGTCACGATGATGAGCACTCGATGCATAGATTTCGTGGTAAAAGCTGGGGTCACTGATGTGGATTTCTTGTGGATTTATGCGGACAATAGGGCCTGCGATGAGGGTCAATTGGAATCGCCAGGTATGCATGCAGTCTTGGCTGCGAGAAACATACCGTATACTTGGTGCATGCGCTCGATTTCAAACAGGAACTTCCCTCCGCAAACGCAGTTGTAGTAAAACTCATAGAAATAGGATATAGCAGCTAGCTTTGGGCCCGGGATGTGTCGGAGAGGGTGGGAAATAAGACGATATATACTCTGTAAGATTAGGTAGAGCCCGAGCACGAGTAGTGCTAGCTCGCCGTAATGAACACTCATTGCTTGATTGTCAGTTTTACATCTAGTACTACCTGGCCATCGTATTCATACTGAAGATTAAAGCTGGCGCGCAAAGATAAATATGGAGACGGGGGCGACCATGTCGAGCTCATGCAACGTCGGTTTGATGGCTACGTCATCGTCACATAAATTGCCCCCGTCGCCCCTTGAACCTCGCAACATGATTTTTGCTCACCTGAAAACTTGGAGTGTTTTCGGTCATAGGTGATTAGGAAGGGACTGGAAATGCGCCAAATGGTGGTTGATAGTGTAGCCCTTCCTTGTATAGTTTAGCCTTGGGATATTGGTATGCGTTCCACTGGCTACAACGCTAGTTTTTCCTTTTCAAGCCCATTGATCTTGTTAGTGGCTAAGAGGATACGAGTGAAATGTATGGACATGCTCTGACTGGCATTCAACGTGCCATTGGGGCATGATTGGGGGGCCCGTCTACGAAATGTGGACCTCCATGAGTAGTACCTGCTTGGTTCTCTTCGAAAAACTATCGTGATAGAACAACCAGAAGACATCGCTGGTAGTACATCCTGGCAGTACAAGACGCTACCATATATGATATACTCAGGTTAACGGCATCATGATCTCAACAACCACGGGCGACTCGAGGCAACAAAATGTTAGGCAGTCGTAAGATCAGGTACTCAAAGGGTCGCCTCGTGTATTGATCTTCATGAGAGCATGGAACGTGCTACCCATGTAGCCAAAGGTTGGTGAAGTTGGGAACGTCCCACGGAATCCATGCAATCGTAGTATTTGGTGAGTCAAGTTGGTGCGTGTCTCATCAGCCCAACGGTCGTTGTCATATCAAATCACGTGCCAACTCTCTGGTCGATTTCTAAAGCGGCGAGATGTCTCGACCAAAGAAGGCAATCCGGACCCGCCCACCAAATTATTGGCCCTGCGAATGCGTTTTAGTTTTCCACCGTTCAGGTCGCAAAAAAAATAAAACCACCACCATCCACCCACTGTGCCATAGGGGGATGTGGAAATTCCAACTCAGGCGATCCCAACTGATTACCAGCCAACCACACATCGCCAAATCGACCACCTCACGACCTTTTCAATCTCGTTCCCTTCCGCATCGATTCGCCAGTGTCGTGGAATCTTCGCCAACCAATACCATGTCTGGAACTGAGGGCGCTGCTGCGCAATTGCCTCCGCAGGGCCAGGGCGATGTTTCTGCTCCGCCGCAAGGTTTCCAACCGGATTACTCGACCTGGAGTGCCCCGGATCTGATATCGCGAATCTCGGAGCTAGAGAAACAGTTACAGTCGCGGACTGCGGAGTTTGCGTCCGGTGCTGCTCCTCCTGCTCCTTCATCTGCGCCCACCACGAACCCCGCTACAGCGCAAGAAATACCATCGCCGAATCCCTCCCCCCATAAGAAGGCGAAGAAGAACCCTCCCTGCCCTGGCGAAGATTGCAACACTACCGAGAAGAAGCGGACCGGATTCAACAAAGCGAAGAAACCCTCGAAACAGTCGCGCGAGCTGGACCCTGCGAAATATCACACGCGGTTCATCGCGCTGAAGTTCGCGTACCTGGGACAGCGCTATAACGGACTGGAACATACCACGGGGAACGTGACGCCGCTGCCGACGATCGAGGAGGAGCTATGGAAGGCATTGCGGCGCACGCGACTGATTCTGCCGACGGGAATCACGCCGTCGGATGCGCAATTTGGGGACCCGCGCCAGCCCAGGGTGACGAAGCCGTACGAGCTGAATTGGGAAGGATGTCAGTATTCGAAGGCGGGGAGGACGGATCGTGGAGTCAGTGCGTTTGGGCAGGTGATTGGCATTCGGGTGCGGAGTTCGCGGCCAAAGAAGAAGGTTCCTGAGACGAGTTCGGAAGCTGCTACGGCGGATACGGATACTACGATGAAGGAAGGGAATGACAACCAGGTGGAGGAAGATGACGGGTGGGATGATATTGCGGATGAGCTGCCATATATCACGATCCTGAACTCGGTGCTACCGGAGGATATCCGGGTCCTGGCGTGGTGTCCCCATCCGCCTGAAGGCTTCGACGCTCGGTTCTCGTGCCGGGAACGCCACTACAAGTATTTCTTTACTCAGCCGGCATTCTTTCCGACGCCGGGAGGTGAGGGACTTGCAGGACGCGAGGGCAACCCCAACCCCAAGTACAGAGAAGGGTATCTGGATATCGAGGCAATGCGCAATGCCGCCAAGTTGTTCGAGGGTGTGCACGACTTCCGGAACTTCTGCAAGCTGGATACCAGCAAGCAGCTCGACACTTTTGAACGAAGGATCTTCCATTCCGATATTGAGTTGATAGACCCCAGCAGTATCCCGCTGGGTAGTCTAGGTCGAGCTGGACTTTCGCCTGATGGGAAACCAGCTGTTAAGGTAGGCCCGCCGGCACCTGAGAATGTTTCGCCATATACCGCTCCGGTCTATGTGTTCCACCTTCAAGGATCTGCCTTCTTGTGGCACCAGGTTCGACTCATGGTGAGCATTCTTTTCCTCGTGGGACAAGGATTTGAGTCCCCTTCGATAGTGTCCGAGTTACTGGACATAACCAAAAACCCACGCAAGCCATCGTATACAATGGCATCCGATGCTCCCTTAGTACTCTGGGACTGCGTTTTCCCTGATCTCAACAGCAACAGTCGTCTAGATGCCATGGACTGGGTGTATGCTGGAGATCCTAGGCAGATCCAGTCCAACACTGGAAAGGGCAATGGCAAATTTGGATTATGCGGCGTTGTGGAGGGAATTTGGAGTACCTGGAGACAGCGCAAGATCGACGAGATTTTGGCCGGGGCTCTTCTAAACATGAGCATTAACCAAGGAGATCAGCGCGTTGTTGACGGTGATGCGTTCGACGAGGGCGGACTTAAACGGAACAGGGGCCAGAAGGTCTTTATCGGTGGGAACGATACTTCTATCGGTGGCAAGTATATCCCGATCATGCAACTGAGAAGGAACGACCCGATCGACGTCCAGAATGCCAGATACCGAGTCGAGAAACAGCGCAAGCTCGAAAAGAAGGCTACAGAGGCGGCTGAGCGAATGGAGATATAAAAAGGAAATCGTTGTATATACATACCTTGATAGAACTCCGCATTATAGATAGAAGGAATTTACCCCAATCCATAAAGGAAATCGATCCAGGATTATGATTTGGAATCATAGAGACAATGTCGCGAACCCCTCCAAACCTCCTCCAGTATAGCGCGTTTCGGCAGGAGTGTCTACAACCAGGTCTATCAGCCTCTCTCCTAATTAATTGAGATCGAAAGAGTTCACTCACAGGAAACACCACCACCATTTCAGGCTCCCCCTCCACGATTATCGCAAGGTAAAAGCGGACCTCAAACCCTTTGAATGCCTCATGGATAACGATGTCCTGAATCTGGGTGGTAGGAATGAACCTCGTCGAAGCTTTAGACAAGTATGTCAAGGAGGAGGTGGACGTTTGGATCCCGAGGCCGCGTATAACCAGAAGTGACTCTTCTATAGCACCAATTATAATCAGCATTTCACGATCCGGTCAAGTCGCTTATCAGCTGCCACATACCCGTGTACCCCTTCCTAAAGACCCCATAAATCACTATCGCACTGACCAAAGCAACAGCCACGGGACTGTACTCGTCCGCGATGCGACAGACATACGATCCCAACGGACTTGACCAGATGACAGTCCAGCGCAGAAACGATCCATCTTGATAGAAAAACAACTTGCGCTGTCTTGCGATGTTGAAGAACACCACGCAGACGAAGATTAGGGCGCGCAAGAGGATTTGAAAGTAGAAGAAAAGCTTGGCCGGGGTGCTCGTGTGTCGGGAGGCATTGGAGACTGTGAACGACACGGTGGTCGGAGATGGACGCCGGAGGATAAGACGACCCGGCATTTACCTGCAGTGTGAGTCCTGAAAGATTGCTCGATGAGGGGAAGGCTCTTCCAAATCGCAAAAGAGTGACCGATTAATGACTACTGAGGAGAAGCTCGGTCGATGCTTGGCGGAGTCTGGACCGCACTAGTCCCGATTGGATCAGCTTCCATACAGCATCACGTGGCTCAGGCCGCACTTCGCTGCAGCGCACTGTCATACCAATCATCCGACTTGACGCCCCTTTTGCTGCCCGACCATTTCTTGATGATGGGCGACCGTTCGAGGAGCAGATCTCCCATGAGGAGACCTGACAACGACAGAGATCGTCCCAGAAAACCTGCTGGAGGGTTTCGGTGGAAAGAAAAGCGGCGCGATGGCGACGACCGAGCCGAGGCCGATGACCGACGATTAACCCGCGGATACAAGGACAGAGAAGATCGGGCGCGATCGCCGCGACGAGACCGAGATTCGGACCGATATGGCGACAGACGCAGGGATGACCGATACAGAGATGAGGATCGCGAGCGACGACCTGAAGGCGAAGACCGGGAGGAACGACGCGACAAGAAAGACAAAAAGGAAAAGAAAGAAAAGAAAGAAAAGAAGAAGGTGATCCCTCAAAGCTCTGAGCCCATGATCACGGTCTATGTCAACGATCGTCTCGGAACTCGAGCAGCTATTCCGTGTCTTGCGTCGGATCCCATCAGTTCGTCTTTCCCTTCTTCCTCTCCCCGCACTATGTATGAATAGCTACATTGCTAACACCACTTCAGAGCTATTTAAAGCCCAGGTTGCCGCCCGAATCGGACGAGATACCCATGAGATCCTGTTAAAGCGCCAGGGCGAGAGACCGTTCAAAGACTTTCTCACGCTTGCCGATTACAGCGTTTCCAATGGAGCGCAGCTTGATTTGTATGATCGTCTCTTCTGCTTTCCTCTCCTTCTACGAGATCAATATAGGATACTAACTGTATATGCAGGGAGGTCGGAACCGGAGATTCATGATTTCCTTTTGTACTTTACTGGCTTTTTGCTGCTTTATAACGATACGTCTTTTGGACCAAAGACAATCACTGGGACCTGGAGCAGGAGCATAGAGGGAATGCCATGATTTTCTTTTCTTTCTATCTTTTTCCCCTTCCATTATGATTCAAACAAGGTTCCATGTACCTACCGGCCAATGGAGACCATGCATTTCCATCTCCTTCTCGTACTGGCACACATTCGTAACGGGGAGAGGTCGCCTTCGTTCCTTGTGTTTGTTCATTACTCTTCTGTCTTGTGCCGGTCTGTCGTTTTTCTGCGGGGCGCATGAACGTTTGGAGACGCTAATCCCGATGCGGCGATTTGCAGCCTGAGGCCACAAGGGCCGGAACCCGAGGCAGCGACACCGGCGACAGCAGCGGATCCACAGGCGGGGAGGTTTTTTTTTTTTTTTTCTTTCTTTTTTTCTGCCCTCGCAACTAAATTGCTGGCGGAGACTCACACGACCGTCGAACAAATCTCCAGTTTCCGGTCGATGTCTTTGCCGTCCAATCGTCCCGTCACGCTTTATAAACCCCCGGACATGAGGTAGTTGGTCAACCTGCGCACCGCCAGAATTGTTTCTCCATTCTTTTTGGTCTCACCTTGCTTTACTTGCTTGCTTCTTTCATCCTGGTGCTGCATAGTGCATAACCCTCGTGCTAATCTAATTTGCCGATCCTACCGCCTACTCCAGATCTGCCGCCTCATCGGATTTTCCTGTTTTCTCCCCGCCTCAAAACCAGTCATCCTCTCCCTTACTACTCCACCCCTTGGGTTTCCCAAACGCTTCGCTGTCCGAGAATCGTGATAAGATGGTGCGCAACATCGTCGTCATCGGGGGCACCTCCCACCCGCAACTGACTGAAACCATCTGCGGCACTCTCGGCGTCCCGCCCGCCGACGTTCTATTGTCGAAATTCTCCGTGGGTGAAACCCGGGTGGAAATCAAAGAATCCGTTCGTGGGAAGGATGTCTATATCATTCAATCTGGCGGTGGAAAGGTCAACGACCACCTCTTGGAATTGTTGATCACCGTCTCTGCCTGCAAAACCGCCTCCGCCAAACGAGTCACGGCCGTCCTCCCGCTGTTTCCGTACTCCCGTCAGAGCGATATCCCTTACAACAAATCTGGTGCTCCTCTCGTGAAATCAAACGTCAACTCGAAACCGGGCGCCCCTGGTTATACCTTCGAGAGCACCCCGTCGACCCCTTACCCCGGAAACCCCGAGAGTGGGAGCATGCTTCACAACGGCGTTGACAATCTGCAAAAGGGCCTCGCAAGGGCCCAGATCGACGAGGCCAGCAACGGTAGCCCCGTGAAAAGACGTCCGGCGAATGGCCTCCCCCGCAGCGATACGCTCGATTCGTTTAAGACGGAAGCGACCACGAATGGAAGCAATGTCCATGACGACAGCATCGAGAAGATCAACAACTTCCAGCCCCGGCCCGGTTACAAGCAATGGGTGGCCCAAGCAGGTACCTTGGTGGCTGACTTGCTGACCTGCGCGGGTGCAGATCACATCATCACCATGGACCTGCACGACCCTCAGTACCAGGGTTTCTTCGACATTCCCGTTGACAACCTGTACGGGCGACCTCTGCTGAAGAGCTACATCCAGCGCAACATCCCCAACTTCAAGCACGCTGTGGTTGTCAGTCCCGATGCTGGCGGTGCCAAGCGCGCAACGGCCATTGCTGACTCCATGGGCATGGAGTTTGCTCTCATCCATAAGGTTCGTGTGTCCAAAGCGCATTCTATAAACCGGTTCTAATTGTTTCTAGGAACGGCGTCCGACCCGGATTACGGAACGTCAAAACGCGACGATGATGCTGGTGGGAGACGTCAAGGATCGGACGGCGATCCTGATCGACGATCTTGCGGACACGTCGAATACGATCACGAGAGCCGCCAAGCTCCTGAAGAAGGAGGGCGCTGCTCAAGTTTACGCCCTCGTCACGCACGGAATTCTTAGCGGCGACGCGATCGACCGCATCAACGCCAGCGCTCTCGACAAGGTGGTCGTGACCAACAGTGTCGACCAGGCCGATCACCTGCGACGATGCCCCAAACTGGAAGTTTTGGAAGTGGGCAATGTCTTTGCAGAGGTACTGTCCCTCCCTAATTTACCCGCTATCGAATCACTAGCTAATAAAAACTTCAAGGCCATCCGCCGAGTCCACCATGGTGAAAGTATCAGTACGCTCTTCCAGTATGAGTAACGGATATAATCACCAGTCGTTCTAAAGACATTCCTTTTACTTGTTTCTTAGTCTTTCTTAGGAGAGATTTCCCACATCAATGAATCTTGAAAAGCAGCGATGAATTTAAGCCGTACACCTAAGGATTTTCTATTTGCTTTGTTCAGTTCTTTCGTTTATGAATTATGTTGAAAGGCATGAAAGGCCTTGATACCTAAGCATATTCAACGTCATCATTCCATTTTGTTATTCCTTTTATATCCGCGTTGAATATATTTTTGGGGTTTTCAAGAGGTCAAATCAAGATACAAACATAGGCTGCTAGGCCGATAATTACTTTGTTCTTTTTCTTTTTCTTTTTTTTTTTTTTTTTTGGTTTCTAGGTTTTCTAGGTTTTCTAGGTTTTCTAGGTTTTGATGATAACGGTCGTTTCCAGCCAGGTTTTTCTATTTCCATTTTTTTGTACAATTTTTTGCAAGTTCATTCTTACACCTCATGATCATGTTACATTATATGTTTTAGCTATGGCACGGACCCAGGCCTCCTAGGTATGAATCCCGGGATTTACGGAGCACAAGGAAAAAGGATAGATTATCAGCATCGATATTTAACCGTCTTTAAATTAATCGGTCTATTTACTTACTATTTTCTAGGAGTTTCACAGTAAAGACTACAACACTTATGCCATCAAATGCCGGGGGCGGGACCAAGAGGATTCACAACTTACCTTGAACTGGACCGGTTCACGAACAGTTAGGTCATGCAACTAAGCTGTACTCAGCTGTGACAAAATTACCATGCATACGAAAGTAGGTTACATCCAAATGAGAATGCTCTATAAGTTGGAACAATACTATGTCACACAAAAGCCGAACGAACTCTCAAACCTAGCAAATAAAACGCCTTCGGCACGAAATCGAAGAAGAATCGGAACGAGATAACAAGCAAAACCGACATGATAAGATGCCATGTCGGGCGATTTAGATAAATGCGCTCATTACAGAGAAGAACTTGGGTACTTGACAGATCAACTAGACACATGAGAAACCGGAGTAAAAAACGGGAAAAGCAATTGGAATGACCCCCGGAGATATGACATCACAGGATTGGAGGAAGAATAGGGGACACAGGGACGGGACGGGAAGATGAAGAAGAGGATGGGAAAAGTGAGGTGGTACAGGAGGGAGCTAGCTGGATGTTGGGAAACAGAACGCTTAGAACACGGAGATGAAGTTGCCAATTCTCTCTTTCTGGTTTTGGGCGATACATTCGGCGATCCAGGTTACGTTTCGGATTTCCTGTTTTGCAGGGGTATTCGTGGTTAGCTGATGTGTTTAAAACGAAGGCAAAGAGGGAGATGTGTAAGACGAACCTGTTCCTTCAGTCTCATCCATGCGTAGACCACCGACGGGGTGAATTGACGCGTGAAGGTAATCTTGGACAGCTCCATTTCCTTCTGGTAGAAGAGGTCCTCCAAACTCTTTCCGTCTGAAGCGCCGCCCATGCCGCCCATGCCACTACCGCCCTGAGTGAGACCAACTGCGTCAAAGAAAGCCTTGTAGTCAGCCGCGATGCTCACGGCCAGCGTCACGCCCTCCAGGTCCTCAGCGCGGGACAGCATCAACGATCCTTCGGGGTAGAGCTTGCCAAACTCGGGGTAGAGTTTCCTCCGCTCCTGCTTCGACAGTTCCGTGCCGAACGAGTTCAGCGTGATGTTGATGGCCCGGCGGTCGGCCTCGAACTGCAGAACCTCCGACATGACCTCTTCCGTCGGGGTGCCCTTGAAATCGGGATGTGTGGTGACGAACGAGTGGAAATCCTCCAGGTAGTTCTTGTAGAGGGTGTTGCGCACGATCTCGATGTTCAGCTCGTCGAGATCCGTGTGGCTCAGGCTGCCCTTGAAGTACGCGGCCAGCGGAGTCTCCACCAGCACGGAGTTGTACAGTTCCTCGATGTTGGTCGCCACGCACAGCACCGGCAGCGTCTCGAACCAGCCGAGCGGGTGGCATCGCTCCAGCAGCTCGCGGGTGTCGCGCTCGTGTAGAGTGCCGGTGATAAGGAGAGCGATGTTGTCGATCATGTACCCGTAGGTCATGTATTCCAAGAACTTGGCGGTCGAGCCGGTGGACTGGGTGAGAAGGTAGCGGAACTCCGCGACCAGCTTATCGGTCATCTTGCCGGCCAGGGCAGAGGTGGAGGGGTTGGGAGGGAGCGCGGCGAGGAAGTCGCCGTATGCGGGAGCGAGTTGCAGCTTGACATCTGCGAGAGGTGAGGTTAGCATTGACCGGGGCGGTACAGATCATGGCGGATTCAAATATCAGAGAGGTAACGGACCATCGATCGTTTCGCATTGGGTCAAATTGTTATAATTCTGGCTGGTGAGGAGGATATTCCGATATCCTCGGACAATGCCCTCGACATAGCTACGGGGCGGGCAATTGCAGTCAGTAAACGTCCGGTAAAAGGGGCCAAGTCCGGAGTGAAAACTTACCCGCTGTGTGCGTTGAAGAACAAACCCTCCATGGTCGAAAAGGAAATCGGAACAAGCAACCAGCGTCAGCTCTGTAGCTCCAGTCTAATCTGATCTGGAGGGAACCTCAGCGGAGCTTCCAGGCGTCGTTTAGTTGTCGCTTCCGCCGGAGGAGAGTCGCCTTACATAAGCCGCACCGCCGCAGCACACCGCCCCAGCCACACGGGAAGGGCACGAGCCACTCGCATCGGTTTTTTCACTTTTTTTAGGGTCGAGAGTAAAAAATTCCCGGCAGCAGCAGAACTCCGAACTACTTCCTCCTTCCCATTCTCCCCCCCCCGCCTTTTTCGAGCTGTGATTTCGCCTATATCTCATTCAGCTGGGACTCGAGGCCGCGCAACCATGACACTCTTTATCCTTACCGAAACCAGCGCGGGTTATGCCCTGCTGAAGGCCAAGGACAAGAAGTTGTTGAAGAGAGATGACTTGGCTGAGGAGGCTTCCACGCCGGAGGGTGTTTCGAACTTGTAAGTTAAATTTATTTGTTGCTCTCGCTGGGGGTATGGTCGCGTCAATTTGCGTCCAGTTTCCCCCGGCGCTTTGAAGCAAAAATTTTTTCTACCCGCGAGGGAAACGAATATACTAATGTCGTCTTCCCCAGGTTGAAATTAAAGAGTTTCCAGAAGTTCGAAAGTGCCACTGCCGCTCTGGAGGAAGTCGCTTCCCTCGTTGAGGGAAAGGTGACTCCTCGCCTTGCTTCTCTTCTCGAGGAGATCAAGGATGAGAAGAAGGCCTCTCTGGCCGTCGCCGACCCCAAGCTCGGTATGTGCTACCTCAATTAGCATAATCGTTGGTAGTATGTGCGATTAACAGGAATTTTTGTAAAGGTCAATCCATTGGCAAGCTTCCCGGTCTGTCCCTCCAATTGGTGGCCGACTCCTCGACTGCCGACGTCTACCGTGCCATCCGTGAACACCTGCCCACATTAATCCCCGGCCTCCTGCCTCAGGACATGTCCACCATGTCTCTGGGTCTGTCTCACTCCCTCGCTAGACACAAGCTCAAGTTCTCGCCCGACAAGATCGATACCATGATTGTGCAGGCCATCGGTCTGCTGGATGATTTGGACAAGGAGCTGAACAACTACGCCATGCGTGTGAAGGAATGGTACGGCTGGCATTTCCCCGAACTGGCCAAGATCCTGAACGACAACCTGGCCTACTCCAAGCTAGTCCTGAAGATGGGTATGCGCTCTAACTGGGTGGCCTCCGATCTGGCCGAGATTCTTCCCGAGGAGCTGGAGGGCGTCGTCAAGGCCGCCGCGGACCGTTCCATGGGTACCGAAATCAGCCAGGAGGATCTGGAGAACATCCAGGCCCTGGCCGAGCAGGTTGTTGGTTTCTCTGAGTACCGCCAGCAGCTGGCCGGCTACCTGACCTCGCGTATGAACGCCATTGCTCCCAACCTGACCGCCCTTGTTGGCGATCTGGTCGGTGCTCGTCTCATCGCCCACGCCGGTAGCTTGACCAACCTCTCGAAGAGCCCCGCCAGTACCCTCCAGATTCTGGGAGCCGAGAAGGCTCTGTTCCGTGCTCTCAAGACCAAGCACGACACCCCCAAGTACGGTCTGATCTACCACGCTTCGCTTATCGGCCAGGCCACTGGCAAGAACAAGGGTAAGATGGCTCGTGTTCTGGCCGCCAAGGCTTCGCTCGGTCTGCGTGTGGATGCTCTCGCCGAATGGGACGAGGAGGCCACGGAAGAGGACAAGTGCGCTCTGGGCACGGAAGCCCGGTACAACCTCGAGCGCAAGCTGGCTGCCATGGAAGGCAAGCCCCTCAAGCCCCGCGGTGTCGCCATTGCCCCCAACGGTGCGCCAGTTCAGGCCCAGAAGTTCGAGATCAACGAAACCCGGAAATACAACGCCGACGCCGACGCTATGACCGGTGATGAGCCTTCTTCGGCCAAGAAGCAGAAGAAGCTCGTCCAGGAGGTTGAGGATCAGGAGATGGCCGACGCCGACTCGGATGACGATTCGTCTGACGATTCGGAAGAGGAGTCGAGCAAGAAGAAGTCCAAGAAGAGCAAGGACTCGGAACTCGAGGCGTTGGCCGAGAAGGCCGGTCTCAGCCTGAAGCGGTACAAGCGAAAGCTCGAGCGCGGTGAGATCGAGTTCGACGCCGCCGGCAACCCCAGCTCGGTTAGCAAGAAGGACCTGAAGAAGGCCAAGAAGGAAGCCAAGAAGTCGTCCAAGGGCGACGAGAAGAAGCGCAAGCGATCAGACGAGACTGAGGAGGCCGACTCCGAGAAAAAGAAGAAGAAGAAGAGCAAGAGCAAGGACTAAACTGAACGATTTTACTTGCTTCGTGTTTCGAGAAATGAGGAGTCCGGCAGAAAAGTTCCCCTTTAAAACAAACCTGATGGTGCCATGTTGCTTCTTCCACTTTGTTCCTGTATGATATCACAATCTGTGGGCCTAACATTTCTTTCATTTTCTGTGTGATTTTTTATACTGTTTTTTCCGATTTGAAGACTTGATCTATGTTTCTTGGGTGGCATTTATATGGATGGAAATGCAGGTCTATCCACGGCGCAGCGGTGCTCGAGTTGTTATTCAAGGAAGTTAGGAATAATCTTGCTATTCACTTCTGTATCTGTAACTGTAAGCGGTAGTAGCCCTTGCTATTATCCTGTCACTTCCACAAACCTTCAACACAGGAGCCTTTGCTATCTCCCTGCCACTTTCCACAAGTCTTCAGAATACAGTACAGTGAAGCTATAGAAGGAAGTGAAGCTCAAAACAGCAAGCGGAGAACCTAATCCTCTCACCGCCCGTAAATTCTGCCATCAAATCCGCCCAATTTTCCCCTCATTTCTTTTTTCGTTTTTTCGCCAGATTCGGAGTCATCCAGATCCATACAATAATATCATCTCAGATCCTCCTCACATAAATCAAAATGAGGGTACGTATGGCACAGTCTGACATGATCACCATACACTCAATTCCAATTACACTCCCAATCCCATCCGGAGATCCAACCAAACCAAACCAACCCCGTCAAACACATCCATCCCATCAGCCCAGAAAGAACCCCGAACGAGATCCAACTCCAACACCCAGAAGATAAAGGATAAATACTAAGACTGAATGAATAATATAGATCGTCGACCCCCAATCCGCCATCCTCACGAACATCGAAGTCCTTGCCTATGTCACGGCAAATCCACCGCGACGACCTCCCAACCCGCCCCCGAACTCGAGGAATTGGGTCCCCAGTCCGGATCTGAGGGATCATAATACTGTTGTGAAAGAGGTTGGTTGATATACCTACTTATCATACCCTGCCTAATTCTACAGTAGGTATACATATACATATACTAATGACGAGTACAAATAGATCCATAATTACATTGCCCGTCTCTCCCCTCACATACTACATTATCCACGATATACACCACCCGGCATACCTGCGCCTGCACCTACGACATCAACCATACAGACACAGACACAATCACATAGCACATCGGAATCCCAAATACAACCAACGCAAATACCCCCCGCGCGACTAAACGCAAACACGCCCATCGATGATGCCCTCCGGAACCTAATTACGCAGTTACAGCCGTATGGGCTCACGAAAGGAGAAGTGCTTATGATTGTGAATTTGGGTGTTGGTGTGCAGGGTCCGAATGCTGATGCTCCTGAAGAAGGAGGGGAGGAGGGGGAAGGGACAGGGGAAGGGGACGCCGAGGGCGCTGAACAAGGCGCAGAAGAGGGAGGGGAAGGGACGGAGATGGTCAATGGTACGGCAGCTGGAAGGGAAGGGGAGGAGATGGATGTAGATGCCGTGGAAGGAGCGGAGGAAGGAGGAGCAGCAGAAGGAGAGGAGGAAGTGCCAGAGGAAGATTACGGGCCGTTGGCGCTTCTGGACACGGTGATTGAGGAGCGGGATGAGCGGTTGAGTGATGAGGATGTGAGGGCGGTGTTGGCGATTATTAGGGAGACGTTGGGTGGGGGGGCATTGAACTGAACATTGAGTTACATAGCTATGTGAAATGGGAGGTGGTGGGTGACGGTGGTTGTTATCTTTGTATGATATGCGATGATAAAGTGGATTTACTAACTATGGTCATGATATAATTGAACGCATTGATAATTTGATTACTCACAATCTTGAGTAGTTCCTTGGTTTAGCACCCTACTTGAACTCCAATATGCTGGACAGTAAACTACTTCCTGAAAACCCCTATCAAACACTCTATTTGGGATCATCTATACAAGCTGAACGAATCTAGCCTAACCCCGTAGAAACAAGAGAGAAAAGAAAAAGAAAATTTGGTATCTCGTGAATCCTTCTGAAAGAACACTGATCTGATCGTACAAGGCTGGTCGGTCATGACGCTGGCAGGTCAATGTCACGGCGCGATGATCTATCCAACCCAATGAAAAAAAAAGGAGGAAAAAATAAACAAATTAGATGAAGATTTAACAATTTCACCAAAACGCCATACCAGAATGCAGGCCATCAATCGATGGCAGGGGGCTGTTTCCGCTTCGATCAACCCGGATAATATGAGCAAGAAGAAAAGAACAGAAAATGATTGTGGTAGAAGTTCGAGGCTGAAGATTGTAGTCTCCTGGAGGGGTATAAGTGTAGGGGACTCGGAGGTCAACGTTGTAGGGAGCTGGGGTTGATGCTAGTTCTCCTTTCCCTTGATCAGATTGCCGAATTGGTTGTACACAGGCTCCTCCTCGTCGTCTTTGCCCTCCTTACCCCATTTCCCCAGATCATCGTCAAAGACATCTCTCTCGTAGCCTGTACACACTTCGCCATAGTCCTTCCACTCGCCCTTGTCGGTCCAAATGCCGCCCTTGCCGCCACGGAGATCCCACCAGTCCTGCCCGCCCAGCATGGCCGACTGCGCGGCGTCAAATCCCGTCGGCGCGCGCATGTACTTGCGCAGGAGGGCGCGTGCCCACTTGTGGAACCACATCTTCGCCCACCAGGGGTCTTTCAACAGCGGGTCGCCATCCAGGTGCAACAGCGCCGGGACGGAGGCGGAGTGCACGTTGGTCAGCAGGGTGAGGTTGAGCCAGGTGTGATTGCGCGGATTGGGCAGTGCGTCGAGCGTGCCGTTCAATGGCGGGTTGACCCATTCGTCCTTAGCGAACTTGGGCTGGATGAAGGGGTTTCTGAGCTTCTCGGGGGAGATGTCGGACGGGATCATGAGGCGGTGCTCGCGTGGAACGCCATGCTGCATCTGCACGGCGGAGGTCTTGGTGATATTGAAGTATTGGAGGAATTCGACGTCCTTCTTCGAGTTGAAGCCGTTGAAAAAGAGCCGCGATTCATAGTCGACTCCGATGCCGTACTCGTACCGTTGTCCGGATTCCAGACGAGGGCGCACTTTGGTGATATTGGTGGCCTCCGAGATGCCAATCATGTGGTAGAGCCATTCTTTGACAGCGCTTGACGTACGGAGTCGTTCCAGCTCGCGCACGTATTCCTGCCGCCCGAACATCTGGGTCAGCGCCACGTAGTCGCCTTTGACATTACGGTGCTGTTCAACGAATCGCATCATCTCCGCGTAAATCAGCTTCAGGTCCGCCACCTGGCCGATCGAAGCGCCGGGTTTAATCCACCGCGGCCGATTGAGATGACCTTGCGAGTGGACGTCGGTTTTCCAGCCATACACGTCCGGCGGCAGGCTAGATTGCGGCACGGAGACGCATCCCGCGTCGTCTGACAGGCTGGCCAGACATTCCTTGCTGGCACTGAAGAGGACTCGTTGCGAGTACTTCTGCATCGTTTCAGCCGCACTTGTACTACCCGTCCGGGATGGCCGTTCCACGTTGATCAGGCCGTATTTCTTCTGCAGCTTCGCATTGTTCTCTCGCAGTAGCTCCTGGAACCGATGTATCATGACTTCTGGCGGCAACTGGAAGAAGAAGTCATGATTTCCATCTACGATCAAGACGAAGTCATTGTCGTGCACGTGCGGGGTGTATGCCAGGAACTTGTAGATGCCCGAAATCCGTTCCACCATGGCCTCGTAATCGTGCGACCCTTGAGGCAGGTTCTTCCCGTAGCCGATCAACGTCGGGGGCGGATAATTGAGGATCATGGCGGAGGTCAACATGCGACAGAGGGCGGGGGTTTTTTTCGTGGCGGGGATGACGAGGTGGAATGCGGGATTAGATTTCTGGAGACTCGACGGGAGGGTGTCATTTCTTTGCAGAGTAGGCTGGGAGGTTTGCACTATTGCCGCATCCTCAGGGTGGTGTGGGAAAGGATGGTAGGATGGGTATTTCAGCCAGTAATTGACAGGTGGCTAGAGAACCACGTCAGTCAGCAATCTCATATCGATGTAGATGGGTGAAGCAATGACACCAGAGCGACTCACTGGGGAAGGCGATCGGAGGAATATCGTCAGCACGAAGAATGTGGCAATGGTGAGAAAGAGCGCCCGGGTCGGACGAGCTCTCATGGCGCGGCGACTGAATAGCTGCTGGAACAGCGTCGTCGTGGACGACTGTATGGAATGATAATGATCAGCCCAAGGGCCATTGTGACGGCCGAGCGTGGCCATGCTGAGTCCAAAGACCAAGCTTGGTAAGACAGAGGTCTTCTAAAGTTGAAACAAGGCGTATGTATCCCAGCAAGGGAGGAGAAACAATCCAGGGGAATCTCAAATTAAGTCGAACTTGCTGATCGATCAATTCAGCTAACGTGGCACAGTCGTCCTCCGGTAGATGGACATTCCTGCTGCGAAACGATTGATCGGAAAGGAATTGCGATGGCGGGCTGGTCCATGGAATGAGGGCGTGTAGGCGCCGCAGAGGTTCAATGACAGCAGGAAGACGCCATGCCTTGGGGGAGGAGAGAAAGAGGGCGTAGGTGCGCGTCGGTGGAAAAAGTGATGACGAAAGGACTGAGAAGAGCACAGGAAAAGCGGAGGTTACATCCCACACGCGATAAAAGCCGCTTGAACAGCGTACGTTGCACAAGGCGACGAGTTGGGAGATGATTTACGTCGACGGTGGAGAGTTCCAGGGAGGGATTAATCTTGGTTTGCTGGGTGCAGGAGATTACGCCGTCAGTCCTCCTACTTACCTCGAGGGACTAAGAGGGGTTCTTCTCTGCCCTACGGTCCCCCGAAGACTCTCCTGGATCGGGAATCCAGGTGGATTGATTTCTAGCGCGCGCTTTGGACAAGAATATCAATTCCAATATTGCCAGTCTCTTGTCTGCAATCCTTCAGCGTTCACAGCGAAACTGGCCTGGATCTGCCGCGTCATCCACCGACGTCTCTGCGTCCCCAGTCTTGGCCTGCTTCGGCGGGTGTTTCATATTAGTTGATTTGTTGTTGGAACTGTCTGGACATGACTCTTCTCTGTACATACTATATACTCAGTACGCTGCAAGAATTCTATAACATGTTTCTCATTACTCCAGGTAAATCTCCTCCCGTAGACGCTGTAAATTCTTGAAAATTCCACCCCCAGGTCCCTCGCTCTCCTGGCGCCGATGACTCGCCGATGCCTTCGCTTTCGCTTGTTGCGACTGCCCAGGATCCATCCTGCCCTGGTTCTCCAGCGTTCGGCAACGATCCTCAATCATCTTCGCCAAGCCATCCACGAACCGAGTGCGCGCCTTCTCCTCCGCCGTGCCCTTCCACACCGTAGCCAGGTCGCGCAGCGCATCCACTCTCTGCGTCGCCGCATCTAGGGCCTCCTCCCCGCCGCCCTTACTTTCCAGGAGCTCCGTGATCTCCGCCCGCAGCTTTTTCATGATCTCCTGGCCCTTCTCCTCCCGGCTGTGGCTCTCGGATCCGGGCTCGGGCGCAGACACCGATATAAATGAGGAGGTGAGGGAGGTCTCCGACGGCGGGAACGACCACTCCATGGCGTCGCCGAACGTCTGCACGACTTCTTCCAGTCGCGCGCGCACCTGGTTCAGGGTTCGTAGTTTCGTAATGTACTCCGGGTCTGCGACGGCAGGGGCGTCATCCGCTCCTAATCCAGAATCCGGTTCTGGTTGTGATAGTTGGTCTGGTTCTTCGCGCGCTTGTTCTTCATCGACTGCGTCCGATGAATCCTGGGCACCACTATCCTTCTCCGTCGATTCGGGAACGAATTTGGCAATATCATCACGTAAAGCATCCGTCAGCGTATCCGACAAGCCGATCGTTTCTCCACGCAGCACCTCAACCTCGTAAGCGAGACGACCGCCGCTCCGAAGAATCTCGTCCGTGAACTGGGTCAGATTATTCGAGAGGCGCACATTCTGCGCGTTGATCTGCGTCAGGATGGATTGGACCTGGGTGGATGATTCGGCGAGGGAGATGGCCCCGGGATGTCGAGGGCCGTGCGGTTGCGAAGACGCCAGCGTCAACGGGGGTAGAGTATCATTGAGGAAGTCGGCAGGGTCGAAGGAGGGGTCGGTGAAGTTGGTTTCGAGAGAGGGACGAGAGTTGGTGGTGGTGGTAGTAGTCCGGGTGCCTACGCGGGCGGGACTGGGAGAGTGCGACGGAGCCATTGAATCGAAGGGCTTGAGGAACTTAGTCTTGGAGGCATTGAGGGGGGCAGCGTCGCCCAGAATTGAATGTTTATAACATGGGGTGATTGGGTAAGTAGAGGGAGATGAGCAACGGGCGAGTTGTTTGTTCTCCGGATCTTCGGGCCAAATCGTCGGAGGCGGAGGCGGAGGCGTCGCGAGACTCACCGCCCGCTGGAGAAATCAAATGAATGTCTACCTAATATCCCCTTTAATTAACCTTACAATGATTACAGAGGTTGTGAGGGATTCGATGAAATTCATAATAAATAAATTAAAGTCCACTGGCACATTCTGACCAGGCATTAATAAGAAAAAAAGAGGGTATCGTCACTGAAATCCAAAGACAAAAACAAACCAGACCACATCAACGAAGCAACGTTGATACAGTCAAATAGAAGCAGAGTCCTTAACGAAACATTAGCATATCTTCTTCGCATCTTGGCATCTCCTGACGATCGCGCTCAAATATCCTCGACCACTCGTGCGTTCACGGCACGCTGGAATCCATCGTCTGCCTGTCCCGATCCAGCACCAGGCCCTGATCCGTAACGGCTGGGACCTTCACCGGCACTTTCGGCAGCCGATAGCTGTTGCTGCACCGTCTGGTTCATAGCAGGCAGGAAAATGACCTTGCTGTTAGCGGTCTTGGCCATGGATTGCATGGCCTCGAGGTACCGGATCTGCATGGCAGGTGCGGAAGAGAGAATATCGGCAGCCTAGCGGTGAACGTTAGCTTTCAATCCGAATTCCGTCATGAAATCAGTCTTACCTGTCGCATCAATTTGGCGGATTCAACCTCGGCGCGCGCAGCAATAACCTTACTCTCACCGATCCGCTTGGACTGCGCAGCCATGGACAGCGAATCCTGCAGGTCGTCGCTGAAGATGATGTCCTTGATGAGCATGGACTCGACCTGGACACCCCAGCCAGCCGCCACGTCTTCGATGATCTCGGCTGTCGACTGGGCGATCTCCTCGCGGCGCTCAATCACGTCCTGCAGCACTCTAGCACCGATGACATGGCGCAGAGTTGTTTGAGTGCGCTCCACCAAGGCCTGGCGCACGTTGGAGATACCGAACGCCGCCTTGTGGGGGGAGATAATCTGGTAGTAGATGACGGAGGTCAAGTTCAGGGTGACGTTGTCCTTGGTCATGCAGACCTGGCGGGGCACTTCGACGATCTGGATTTTGACATCCACGGTGTTCAGGTGCTCACTCAGGGGGTTGACCTTAACCAGACCTGGATCGACAGCCCGCTCGAATCTATGCCAACGTTAGAGGAGTGTTCCTTTCAATAGAGGGATATGCACAAGTACGAACCGTCCGAATTTCGACACCAGGCCGACCTCGCCCTGAGCAACGGGCTTGAAGGGGTTAGGGCAGCAGAAGCAGCAGGGAATAGCACCCAGAAATCCGATACATTCACCGAGCGAATGGACTACCCGGTCAATTGTTAGCGATAGATCTGACTAAGGAAGAAAGGCGTTCAACTCACTCATTCCAGCATACCAGCCGTGGGCATCGGGATTGTCATCATTATGCTCCAGTCTCTGCGCATACTTGGGCTGCAAATCACCCAGACGCGCGGGTTGAACATGGACTAATCCAGTCTGATGGTGGTGAGAGCCGGAAGGCTGGGCGGGGGCCTTGCCGTTGGTGTCGGCGTGTGCTTCGGCGGACATTTTTGAAACGCGAAGATGATATAGTTGTGTTATTGTCGGATGATCGCAAGTGATAGCTGAGAAGAAAGAAAATAAGGTGGCAACGGCAGGAATGCAAAGCGTAACGTCGTTGCAGGTCGGCGGAGTGACGATAGATGGGATGGCAGAAGGAAGAGGAAAGCCGACAGTTAAATAAGTCGCGCATCCAAGGTACCTCACGGTCGGAAGAGGAGAGATCGCCCGCTGCGCTTCTCGCCCAGACTCTGCACTGAGAAGGTGGACCTCTGGGGGACTGGCACTACACCTGCTAGAGTCTAGTGTGGCCCTCCCGTTGGCCCTACGAAGGTTTTCCAGGTGTCCACTTTCCGCCCAAGGCTGAGCAGCTGCCCGTGATCACGTTGTGCTGCCATGGCATCGTCATCGGTCTGGTCTGCCTTCCTTTTCTCTCCAACGCTAAACAATACGAGCTCTCCTGATCAGGTTAAAGGGGGCCAGCCCATGAACAACCAGCGACCACAGATCATCGGTTATTATCTCCGAGGAGATTACTCGGATCCATTAGAAGTTTACGAACCTACCCTCACGGCTTCCAGATGTTTTCTAGCGGCCTAGAGCTTGGGTGCCGGTTCGCCGAGCTGTCGACACTTGACTATGACTGCTCGTGTCACAGTTGTATGACTGTGCCGTGGGTTTCAGGAATTCGGGGATTTCCTCCTTCAGACCCTTGATTCCTGAAGCTTCAATCATTCTCAACCTCCCCTTGGACCTGAGGCCTATCCTCTCATCGCCACGTTAGGGACTTGGGACCCATTCGTCATTGAGCCTTACAGCCTGATCATGTTGGTATTCTCAATCCAAAGACAAACTTTCAGTCGGCACTGTTGGGCCGATTGATAAATTCTCCATGTCCCGCTGTTCTTTGCCCGGCAACAGGGCGCAATCGGGGCGGTGCTTCCTTCGCGCAACTTTGGCCAAGGCTGGGCGCGCTACTCCGTAACCAGTAAGTTAGTTGCTTCCGAACCACGAGTTGCCCCGGACTGCAGTGGGTGGCGTGCTCGCTGCATGAGCTGCATGATGTCGCTTTACTCATACGACCGTGCTAACTATCGTGTGGAGTAGTCCTATAACAGTGCATAGTGTCATACTGGTGGCGCATTTTCAGTTCTTCAACTTCATTCAAACTGACCATGTACGGAGTAGACCCTGAAAGGATGGAATAGGTTGGGGGCGGAAAAAAAGGCAGCGGGTGATGGCCGACCAAGTAACTCTGATCATCACTTTACGAATTCCTAGCAGCGGTGCCTGTGTGCTCTCAAGTGGAATGCGACCGACCGATCGCCTGCATTTTTCCGCCCACTTCTGCGCAACTTCAGTCTGTTGACTACGTCGTCGATAACCAAGGGGTCCTCAACCCTCGAAGACCGAGACATGAAACTACACCGTACTGAGTACGTACGGACTGCGGTAAACTCTCTCTAAGTGGGTCTTTGATGGCCAATAGGTCCATTTCAGGCATTTCTTAGCCCTACGGCGAAAATATCTGGACAACTTTCATCTGCTTCCCACATATTCTCGTGATAACGGGGGCAAGGGATGTGTCTTGTTATTGGCTGAGGCCTGCTCTTGGGGAGCTTAGCTAACCAACTAACTGGTATTTAACCACGGGAATTGCCCCTAAATGCAGTGATAGCGAGAATACTGGCCTCCCTGGTCCAATAACTCAACCTCTTTTCATCTCGCTATGTGGCAGTATCGTTGTCGAATGCTTAACAGACTAACGACGCGACCAGACTCCGAAATAGTGGTGCCGACCTTGTAGGCTATTCAATTCGTCCAATATTCCAGCTCCAATACTCCCTAATTCATGAAAGGTGAGCGCAGTTTGGGATCTATCTTTCTGGCGGCCTTCGGCCTTACAACGTTGGTTTCTTTGGCAGCTTCGCTCGACGCTTACTTCGTAGTTCCTTGCCTCCCCACGATTGGTGTCTATTGGTCAGTTACTTGTGTCCCTGATCTATAGTCTAAACAATGGTCAATCTGATTGTTCAGGAGGCGTGCCGTAATTCTTACTCCAATCAAGAGCGCAATTGCTCCGTAGACTGTCTCATTTTGCTCGCAGGGTTACACTGCGCCCTGAATGAGCCGTTAGCCCACCTTGGCATACAAGGTATGTACAAGTCTACAAAATGAAACTACACCTCTATGATACAAAGACCTCTGGCATCTGTTCTCCTCTCTGCCTCATTCCTCCGTATATCAATCTCTATTGCCAAGATGCCCTCTCTCAAAATTCTCCTACCGGTCATCCTCTCCCTCGCCACTGCCACCATGGCAGGTAACAGCGACGACTGCCCCCATAACTGGTTTTCAAACCGGTACGAAGACAGGAGATGCTGCTACGGCCACATGATGATCGAAGACACCACCGCCTACTGCTGCGTCTACGAAGTGCTCGGGTACGAGGATCCAGCGACGATGACGTCCACTTCTGAAACCACTTCCGCCTCCACCGACAGCTACTACAACTGGTCCGGGGCAGATTACTGCTTCACGAAGATCCCGTTCAAGGCGAGTGATTACTCGGCGAGGGTCTCGTCCGCCTCGGATGCGATTGAGGCGTCGAAGTCGGCGTTGGCTACAGCGTCTGCTTCGGCTGAGGGGTCTGAATCTTCGACTAATGCGGCTATGCCGGTCGCTACGGCGCAGGGGATGGTGCTTGGTGGTGCTGCACTTGCTGCTGCTTTTTTTTGTGTGATGTGAGATGGGTTGTTACGGTGGTGATGGCTGGCATTACTAGGACTAGGCGCTGTCTCTCTTGTGAATTCGGATCGCTGTCTCGAGGTTATTGAGCAAATGGTTCTCCAGGGTAGTGCGTGACATTGGGACAGGTGCAAGTTTGTGTTGGATTATAAAGTCTGCTAGATTATGGCTCTAGCGATGAGACAGATCATGTCATTCTGGTGCTCAGCCCCGACATGAACCAACCTGACGGGCTCGATTGGGTGATTTGGGCCAGAGAATCGATTGTTTTAAGATATCCTCCTGGGTCCCGAAAGGCATGGGTTTATTCTCATGTCATGTGTCTCAAAGCGTGGTGTATATAGGTATCTTATTTAGAATTATAGCATGTCCACTGATCTATCCAAACATTATGATTCCGCGTAATACAATTTCACAACCAGTATTCCATAAATGATTATATGGCTACCAATCAATCAGCAAATAGGATCATCATGCCAATCATTTCATTTCATTCAAAAGCTATGTCACATCTTCCCTGCTGTATTTTGCATCGCTGTAGTCGATCGAGATAGTCGAGCAGTCTCGCCAGCTCTCAAGTCGCACGGAACTGTACCCATGAGAAAAAATCAGTTGCGCTCGCCTTCGAACAGCCTGCTGAAGGGAAAGAAAGAATTGAAAGCTCACAGATATGGTAGGTATTGATTCAGTGAGGATTGGACCTCTTCAATGGTGAGAACCTTCTCTTGGCTGTTTTCTCGGCACACTTCTCGTGGTATGTATCTCTTATTGACCCCATCGCTGGCAAATACCTGATATCATAGTTCGTTAGTTCTTGTGATCAACCGTTGAAAACTACTGTTGACTGTAGGTAAGCTTACCCGCGATGTCATATCAGCCTGTGATAAGACATTCCTGGATTATTGTTAATTTGGGGGTTAGCACAAAACCCATGTCTTTTGTTTGCTGTATGCATATGCGGCGCAGTACAAGACCTACCCATTTAGTAAGTACGCGATCAGATGAGAAAATGATAATGAAACAGCCAGCTGACATGGATGGCTGATCCAAAAATCATACGAACTCTTGACGACAGCACAGGCTCTAGTCAGAAGAGCTTTTAGGAGTCCGGTCTGCGTTCCCGACATCATAGGACTTGATATTTTTAAATACAACAGGTATCGTCATGATACACATACTATCAAAGGACTTTCCCCCTGTTGCGAATTCTTCGGTTAGGAAGCGTCGTCCGTTGACGGGCGGAGCGGAGAGATGGGCCTGTGAGTCCGGTACATTAGGCCCTGGAGGGTGGAGTTTCAGCACGGTGGCAAACACAGCGGCTTGTGCAAGATGAGTTATAGTATACTCTGCCCCGAGGGCAGATTTCAGATTGGCAATGATAGCCTTGCTTTGGTCGGTTGAGAGAGTTCGTCGAATGCTCTGGGGCTTGCCGTCCTGGGAGGTTATGTTGGGCTGCAGACCCCAATTTCGCTGTATGACTCTACTGATTAGATGCATTCTTTTGAGGCTCGGTGGTTGGGGATGGATGGCCTGCCTTTCCTTTAAGTAACGCCTTCATATAGGTTACTCGATGGGCTTCAAATGGTGGACCGGATATCGTTTGATCAATGTCCAACGAGTCTAGGAGGACCGGTTGAAGAGGAAAAGTCCTACTATCTGGGGCGACTGACGATGTCTCGCCGGACAGCTCTTTGCCCAGAAGGCAAAACATGTCACCGATTAACCGGCGAAAACCAAGATCATCGAAGAAGATGTGTTTCGCTTGAAACAAAAATCGCACAGGTGCGGTCCCTATAAAACCCGTCTTCTGTCTTCTCGTCCACGGACATTGTTACGTGAGTCGTCACGGCTCGAGCACTGGTCTCCATCCTAGTAGTGTGGTCTTCTTCATTCCCATCATGAAGTTTTGCTGCTTGTGAACCACGCATCTCCACTCTGATAACGTCGTCGACCCAGTCATTAAGCTCATTCTGGCTTAAGGTGTCCCGATGCTGAATCCATGGGACCCTCTCTCATCCCACCACACGGTGTGAGCAACCACAGGATGTTTCCATCTCATCTGTAGCCATGTTGCTGCGAGACCGCGCTACAGATCTTTTACAGTGAGATTGGGACAGTAAAAGTGCACCGAACTGATCAGATGCATATCATTTTCGTCCTTCTCACTACTAGCTTGTCGCCCAACGATACTTTCCGAGCCGATCGCACGCCTTTGCCATAGAGTTGACTCTGGGCGAAGGTTGCCATCGAAAGTGATCCGCGGCGAGTGGCGGCAACCCGGGCAACTTTAAACATCAGAAATATGTGGGTCTACCGAAGAAGTGATTATTCAACCGATTTTATAGTTATGATCATATTCAAATGAATGAAGGTCTAAATTCAACTAACTACACGATAAAGAAGCCGTTATTTATGCAATTTGAGAGGCTTCCTAATCGCCAAAACAAGCGACACATCACGATAATACTGTACCGAAAAATGATAAATGCAATAAAATTGCAATAAAACGCACTGACAATACAATATTTATGCAATGAATCAATCGGCCAAGAAAGGCGATGATTTAAGCGGTTTAGTCATCTTCCGCGGCCACAAAATTCAATATTGTGGTCATGGTTCGTATGGTAAAGATTGTCCAGAAAGATGAAAGGGAGGTAGAACTCATGGTTAGCGAACGAGCTGGGAATATTGCAGAGGGCCTTTTTGTTCTCTTGGATGAAAGAAAGCTGTATTCGCCTCTCGGATGCCGAGTCTACGAGGTGCAATACTCTTGTCCGCCGGTGGCTGGTTCTCGGAAAACTCTTTTCGGTTCACGATATGAGTCCTTTTCGCTGCCGATCAGATCGTTTAAATTGAGTAAATCTAAAATCGAAAGCTAGTTTGTAGATCTGTAAGGTAGATCACTACTACCTCTAGCTATCAGTGACAGGGTAACCACTCTCTCGAATAGACGATTGAGCATGGAACAACCATGGCTCCAAGACTGCGAGCTGCGCTAACTCGGAGTACGCGATGAATTGGCTTTATTGAGAACGTGAGTCTAAAATCTGCGAGCAACTTAGACTACACACAGAATCCAAATAAAACCTACGTATGCTCTTCCCCCCTCCCCCGCTATATCTCTCATCTCTCTATGAAAGGTGCGTAAACGCGAGAGATAAGGCTTTCATCCCTTCATAATGGGTGTTCTCAGTTCATTGTCGCTACTCAACTACGTGGAAGGCGCTGGAATATGCGCTGTTCTATACACAATCGGCCTGGTGATTTGTCGTCTATGGTTGAGCCCAATTGCATCTTTCCCGGGGCCATGGCTCGCTCGCATCACCTTTTGGTATGAGTTTTATTACGATTGGGTGAAGGCCGGACAGTTTTATATGCAGATTGAACATATGCATCGACAATATGGTTAGTCGTCCCTCTCGCTGACCTGGCCTTATTGCAGCTTAACTTCTAATTTTGGCTGCTAGGTCCGGTCGTACGCATCACGCCTACCGAGATTCATGTCCGTGATCCGGCATTTTATCACGAGCTCTTTGTAACAGGGGCTGTTCGAGAGACAAACGCTTACCCGAGATTCGCAGAAGGGACTGGTTTTGAAGGTCTGTATGCCTGTCTTACATCCCCACCGCGAGAGAAAATTGGCTAATAGAGGATGTTCTGAGGCAGATATGGTCGCCGTTTCTACCACCCACGAGATGCATCGCGCAACACGAGCTCCCTTGAATCCCTTCTTTTCGGTAGCTGGAATAACTCGTGTGGAGGACCGGGCTGTTCAACGCGTAAAGCAGTTACGGGACCGATTAGAAGAATATGTGAATACCGGCAAACCAGCCAATATGACACATGCTTTTGGCTCGATGATGACAGGTCTGGATAGAACCCTTTCCTTTTATCCTTTGTTGCAATGCGAGATACTTATTGATATTGCCAGATATTGTTTCTTGTATGTTGTTCGAGGAACCTAGCGATTACCTTAAAGATCCTACATTCAATGCCGATTGGTAGGGCTTCCCGTCCACGACGCCAGCAACATGATTTACTTACTTCGCCATAGGTTTGAGTTACTGAAGAAAGGCTCTATGACAATTCCGCTGCTGGCTCATTTGCCGTGGATCGCGAAGTACGTCCTTGTTCAAGACGCAGAGAATATGCCAACTTGACTAAAACTATCGATAGGGTTTTGGTAATGCCAGTGGTTCGGACCATCTCCGAACGAGTGACTAAATGGAGGATCTGGGACGATGTGAGCAGCATAGTCGGTCCTTTAAAAAAGACCTACTAGAAGACTGATTACTTCTTAGAAAGCGCGCCGACAGATCGTCAAGGCCAAACTTAGGCCGGCAGATGAATCCAAGAATCGGAGTGACACCACGCTCTTTGACCACCTCGTGCATAGCGAGCTGGTGGAGTCGATTTTCGGCAATGGTGGGTTTGCTCGATTATCGCAAGTAAGAAAACTCGGCTGCATGATTTGGCTAAGCTAGCGCGAGCTGTTCCTTGTTCTGACTGACTAGTGGCAGTTGATTCAGCAAGCAGGGACCCATAATGTGTCCACTACCCTTGGCACTATTGTCACCTATCTAGGACTCAACCCGGAAATGGAGGAGAGGCTTCGTCAAGAACTGAAGGAACTATATGTCGAGAGCCGTCAAGTAGGACCGTCGTGGCGGGAATTGGAAAAATTGCCGTACTTGAAAGCTTGCTATCAGGAAGGCCTGCGGTAGGTTTCTCGTCCTGCAAAGTTCACGCAAATCCCATGCTGAGACACCGATAGAATGGCAATGGGACTATTACATCGACAAGTGCGAGTGTCACCAAAAGCCGACTTGGAATGTAATGGCTGGACAATTCCCAAGGGAGTAAGTCGCTTCTTTTCTTCCTACCAATCTCGACCACTGATGAGTATACCCCCTTAGACACCAGTCTCGATGACCAACCACTGGATTCATATGGATCCGAACGTTTTCCCAGAACCAGCCTCATACAATCCTTCCCGGTGGCTTAGCGGTTCGGAGAAAATGAAGGTACAGCAAGACTACTTTGTTCCGTTCTCCAAAGGGTCTCGTGCTTGTGTAGCTAAAAAGTAAGCATCTCTTACTTGTCTCTGGGTCTTCAAGACTAACTAACCTGATACAGTCTCGTGGACATGGTTGTCTACCACACCCTCGGAGAACTGTACGGTCCACATGCACCGAGGATAAGGCTCTACGAGACAGATGAGACTGCAATTCGTCCAGTCCATGGTTTTCTGTTTCCATTTCCAAGATTAGATTCTCCGGGTGTGAGGGTCATTTTAGAAAGAGATATTGGAAGCGGTGTCAATGACAGACATCACTACAACTTGGGAGAATCATGTATTCCCGGTTGACGGAAGACATGTTCTGTTTCAGAAACCCAATGTGGAAGTTCATCTAGGCAAGCCTAAAGGCTCAACATCCTGGTTTCTATCTCCTTGCTATTTGGTAGAGCAGATTCATAGGTCTTATTCAATGTATGTAGTGGAATTCGCGCAGCGAGTCTTGAGATTTATTTCCGTGTTGTCTCGGTGACACTTCTAAGCCTGCATGGTGAGCGGCTACGGATGATTCATGTTTGAGTTATCATTGAACCCTGATAGGGCGGGCTTCCACCGAGGGTCGAGGAAGCTCCTCACTTAAGCGCTCTATGAAATGTTTCAGTGCCCCCGTAAGATTACTACTCATTAACATTATCTTTATTGAAACAACCAGATCTTCCTAATTTAGTATCTTTACACTTTCATATACTCTGTTTTCCTAAGAATGGATCCCGCAACACCTAAAACAGCACCCTCTCCCCAAATTCACAGAGGAGAGGTGTGGTACAAAGTCAACACACCAGAGTTCGACACGGTAGCCTACGATCCTCTGGACCCTCCCAAGCGATACCACACCGGTGTCTTCATTGAAACAGACACGAAGACCCTCGAAGGAGCGCTATTTCAAGTCACCGGCGACATCATCGCCCGGAGCGGCATGCGGTTCGAAGTGAAAGAAAACTATGTTCCTACAGCGGATAGATTTTATCACAGAAGTACAGATGTTGGATGGATTCGCCAAGCCGATTATCCGAGAATAAGGGGGATCTTGGAAGCCCTGCCCAAACCGACCAAGCAGCAGGGAATTGACTTTTGGAGCAAGGAGCCAGATAAGTGGAATAAGCTTACTTGGACGAAGCAGGATGGAGATCTTTACGGGCCAGGCGAGCAACGGCGGCCAATTATGAAGTGTAATGAATGGACACATCAGCTTGCGATTCCAGAGTTGCGACGCGAAGGAATTTTACATAGCTCATTTTGATTTGAAGCATCGATGTTGTCAATGGTACAGTACCTACCGAGCAAAAATCTACGAGCACCTCGACGGCTGCCCTTCTGGTTCTAGTAGGTGAGCAGTGCCGTCCTGAGGTCGCGCGAAGAGGTGAGTGGGGCGGGTGATGGGGGTGAGGGTCACCCGATGGTCGCGCGACTAGACGCCTAGCGCTGACACAGGTGCATCCTTCGCGTCTTGGCTGTTCCACTCCCCTAAATTTTGAGGATTGATTGGGTGAAGTTTAGCTAGAATTTATTGTTGAAATTAGCACTCTCTTGCTGCTTTGGAGCCATACCATCACACTTCTTTTTTGACCTTCCAAGCAGCGGAGTGCCATAGGAGAGAAAGTATAGGCCAAAGATGTTAAATGGTGAATGTAGCTCATCCGATTTTGGTCCCCTTGAGCTCTGTAAATAAGGCCTGTCTTTAGCAACAGGTCGTATGTTGATGACTTATTCATTCTGGAGTTCAAGTTGGATTCCTTTGGATATGGGGTCTACGAGTTTTTGAAGACGTTCCATGGCATAAACAAGGGAAGCATGAGGCGCAAGAAAGTAACACTATAGGTATATAGGGAAATATCCATATTACCACATTTTCGACTGTGGGGAAGGTATTAGTTTGATATTAAGCACCCCTCCTTATGTGGGCTCTGTATTCTTAAATTATTGACAAGCTATGATATTTTTCACTAAGTATTACGAAAGAGGTGCAATTAAATGGTCTATATTTATAACTGTCTGAGGTTCTTTTAACCATGTCATATTACAATCAACTCTTGCAGAGACGCCTGTCAAACCCTGGTATCTCTCCAAGCTGTCTGCGTGCTAGTGAAGGTTATTGAACTCTCCGATGACTAGTCCAACTAGTCGACGAGGTGACACTACCGAGTGTCCGAAGGTGCGACGATGTGGTATCCAACGACCCAATCCAAGGTCCGATGAGGTCCGATGATCGATCAACTAAACACAGCAAGGATAGAAGCAAGGTCTACCGAGTACGTATACTCAGTAGTTGAGGATAGTAAGACTTGACGAATCAAACTAGAAATGTTCGAATGTAGGTATCCAATTGACAATGTTAAACAACATGAAGACTAACTACAATGATAAACGAGTTTCCTTATATATCCCATGATCCGTGAGTCAGTATATGATGTGGTAGATGTTTGGTATATGATATCCTCTTGGCATATCGTTTTGTCGACTGCGTCCTCTATTATATTACTTCTAAGCGCGTTGAGTAAAGATAAGGAATGGCTGCACTTCAGCCATATGATATCTCTTATACAGAAAGATGCAGCGCACTTAGAAATGATATCATAGAAAGCTGGCTTATTTTGCAGGGAAAGAACCAAGATTTAGTTAGTTAGTGTGGCAGAAAAATACCGCTACACTAAAAAGGGTCAACCCTTTGTAGTAAGGGTTTTTCTAGTGTATATACGCGGCGACAGTTAGTTATATTTACGGCCGCGGTTCACCGCCTAGGCACGTGTCCCGCCGTCCCCTGCTGGGGCAAAGGCCGTGTGGCCGCGGGAGATGACTAAACCGCTTATATCATCGCCTTTCTTGGCCGATTGATTCATTGCATAAATATTGCTGTTGGAACCATTGTTCAGCTGATATGCCTAAGTCATGTGATTCCTCGGCATAGGCAGCTGATATATCTTCAACGAAGCGAGTAGTCTAGAATAACACTTCACTTTTACCCACCGAGCATATACCTATATTCAGTTGAATCGATAGGATATCTGCTTAGGGCAATGACCAAGTCAACCGACACTGATCAGTAGACGTACAGATCAGGATATACGCAACTGCGAAGCTTGAAACTGAGTCAACAGCCCTAAGAAGCTGTTTTCTATGATTGCCTAGCTATTGCCCTATATCAGTTGAAGGAGAAGATTGTGACAATTCGAAGCTTGAACGGACATTTAACAGCTCCAAAAACTGTTGAATAAGTATCGCCTAGAAGTGCACTCTCTTGCTAATCATCATTTATAGAGCCCGAAGGTCTATAAATACGTCCAAAAACATCAAAAATCTCAATTCTTGACCACTATCTCTTATTTTCCCCATTTTCCGCATTTTCCCTATTTTTCTCTTATTTTCTTATTTCTTACTTTTTCCCTTCTACCCCTCTTTTGTGTATTTGACTATCTATTTTTAGAAGTTAACCGAAGGACCCCTGCAGATGTAACGTATCAGAAAAACAATCAGCTACCAATTTTAGCACTTTTTTCCCTTTTTCTACCAATTACTATTTCAGAGAATCATTTCTATCTCTATCCCAGTGATTATTCTATATTATCCCTTGCCCCTTGCCCCTTTCTATCTATCCTTTATACCTTGTTACACTCTTCTACACTCGCACTACCATGTCTCAACTACTACAGTCCTCATCAAGTGGAGATAAGGATTGGGAAATCGATTTGGGTACAGCCACAAAACAGGACCTTAATACCTATGCGATAAATATGCAATTTACAAACACTATCCTTGATCACAACCTGTAGATAACATTCCGAGAACAATTCAAAGGCTGGAAACCTGAATATTTCAAGCAACTCAGCCCTTATGCAAGAGTGAACCTCAGAAACAATCTGCTTCAGCGAGAAGTATTCGTTCGTTATCATAACACGAGGAATCTTCTCTATGACATACTTTCCGAAGTTATTCAGCAAGATGAATTCCATGAATGGACTGATGAAGAGCTTAAAGCTGCTCTAGAAAAACTTGATTTACCAATAATTACTGCTATACTCCGAAAACGCTTAAATCTAATACGCGATAGTTTAAGAGAGAATACACAAGCTACAGAAGGTTATTCAAACCATTCAGCTTCTCTTAAAGCTAATCCGCAAGTGAGACGAGACTATCCAGATCTTTCAGCCTCTCTAGAAGACCGTTTCATTACTCCCAAAGCCAATCCTTTTATCCCAGGAACCAATTACGTTTCTGAAACTGATTATCTTACCCTTGAGACTAACCGCCTTGCTCAAGAAAGCAATCATGCACTCTCTATGAGGCCCAAGAATGACCTTTCTAAGGAAATCGCCTCAGTCACAAAGATTTACACAGAAGACCAGAAATATAGCGGTACGGACAACAGCAGCCTTGACTTTAAACTGAACATCTTTTATGACATTTGCTCTAGAGCTGGTCTACTACTACATGGATACAAGGCTGCATTGCCAACAATGTTTAAAGGTGTTGCTGAAGACCACTATTACAGCAGTAGTCTATCATCAAAGACGTTTTAAGAAGCATATTACCACTTATGCCAATTCTTTGAAGGACCCGAGTTCTACCGGCAGAACTTAACCAAGTGGAATACCATATCGCTCCAGAAGATCATGAATGATAACCATAAGAAATCAATCTATTAAGGTTTTCAACTCTTACTCAGCAATCTCCTAAAACAACGTCACGGCCTCCACCCTGAGCTCCGAACCAACATGAATCTGATTAACAAGCTTATTACAGCTTGCCAGGGAGTACCAGCATGCCGCATGGCTATTGCCGACCCGCCTGAAGACCTCGCAGTATTGATCAATAAACTGCAATCCTCAATCACCACGTGGGAAAAGGAGAATCCACAACATGGAACCTCTCACACAAGTCCCCGAGAAGAGACCTTCTATACTGATAGAAGGTATCACAATCAAAACAGGAACTACAATCAAAACAAAAGAGGTCTATCGGGCAAATGCTACGTCTGCCAGAAACTAACCTGCCGCTCTTGGAGACACACTGAAGAAGAACAGAGGCAATCTAAGGAGAAATATCAGTAGCGTTTCAACAATGACAGAGGAAAGAATGGCGACTTCAACAGACGATACAGGCAGTATATAATATATTGCGAAAGGAATGACAAAGAAGAAGAAGCAGAAGCTTTTGAAGCACTTATACTTAATGCTCAAACTATTGTACCTGAAGCTGAAACAACAGACCTTGATAAAGAATATAATCTTACTGATACATTCTTTACCTCATTCGGCTCAATTACTGCTCAACAAGCAATGACTACAACCTCTGAACTTGCAAATCGATCTTTTACCCATTGTATCAATGATCGAAAACCCTTGAACTTGATAGTTAATACCGACCCATTCAGCTATAACGCCAATACCACTTCCGCGAGCGCGACCCGATACAACTCTAAAATCTTTATGGGAATAATGATCGATACCGGTACCTCTGAAAAGTTTACAGCTGGATATGGCCAATTCTAGGCACTTTAGAATACAGAAAACATTACATTAGATACCTCGACAGCTGGTCAGGTAAATGTTCAATTCGGCATTGGAACAACTTCTTTAATTGATTCTGCAAGAGTTTTAACTCTAATTGGTAACATCCAATTCTATGTTATAAACGCTGATACCCCATTTCTGCTATGCCTAGCGGATATGGACAATCTCGGAATATACTATAATAATCTTAAGAATGTTATTGTGGCCCCGAAGCCTGCCTCCAGATCTGCTACCAAATCATTTGTTGAGATCCCTGTTATTCGTCGATTTGGCCATCTATTTCTGTTATGGAATTCTGCTCTATTCTCATACCTCACTTCTTCATTTGATATAAATCCTTGCTTTCTAACAGATATTGAGTTACGGAAATTATATTGCCGCTTCGGACATCCATCTGTTAATAGACTTCAGATACTTCTAAGAAGTGCTGGCCATAAGCTAAATATAGCAGCGTTAGAATATCTCATTAAGTTCTGCTACTATTGTCAGAAGTTTGGCAAATCTCCCGGTCGATTCCGATTCAATCTCAAGGATGAAGTACATTTCAACTTTAATATTATTATCGATATTATGTATATTGACAATATATCTCTCCTTTACGTTATTGACGAAGCAACTCGCTTCCAATCCGGCCGATGGTTGAAAGATATCAGTGCTAAACACACCTGGGATATACTGCGAATGTGCTGGATTGATACCTACCTAGGCCCTCCAGACTTGATCACACATGACGCCGGAAAGAACTTTGTGAGCAAGGAATTCAAGACCTATACAAAAACAATGAATATTAGCACAAGAAGTATTCCCATTGAAGTACACAACTCGATAGGCATGATTGAAAGATACTATAGCCTACTGCGCCGAGCCTACCAGATTATCATTGCTGAGATCCCTGATATTGACAAAGAGATCGCCCTTCAAATGGCTTTTAAAGCTATTAACGATTCCGCGGGACCTGGAGGCTTGGTTCCTATCCTACTGGTATTCGGCGCATATCCTCGCATGGTTGATTCAGATGCACCTTCGTTATCAACTTCCCAGCGGGCTGCAGCTATCAGAAAAGCCATAGCAGAGATCAAGAAACTTAGAGCAGAGCGCCAACTGGCTGATACATTAAATATGAGAAACGGCCTATGCATTACGGCTGTACATGACTTGCTACCAAGCTCGCCTGTCCTTGTCTGGCAAGAAGGAAACGGAGGAAAAACAGGCAGCTAGACTGACCCATTTACCCTTTTAACAATTGAAGGGGAAACCTGCACAGTCAAGTTACCTAGTGGCCCAACAGAATTCCGATCGACAGTAGTCAAGCCATATTATTCAGAAGCTCCAGAATCAGACTAAATTGATCGAACAGAACACGGTATTGATAAAGAATCACGCTCAGATCCCGCAGAACCTCCAGAAGTACACCCAGGACCTATCCTTAGGCGCTCCGGACGAACTCGATTGCCTAATACAGACCGTAAACCCGCCCCTATACCCCTACAACTTGTACAATCACAAAAACGAGGCCTAGGCCGCCCACGCAAGCATCCTTTGCCCACAAATGTCTTCTTGCAAACTGGGAGCGATCCCGGTATCCAACTATATCATGTTTCAAGGTAAAAGGAGGTCAATGGCCTGCTTGAAAAAGGGGTATTTGAGTTCCTCAAATCTGAAGACATTCTACCAGGGACCAGACTCTTCAACTCACGCTTTGTTGACGAGATCAAGAATAAAGGAACAGAGAGAGCATTTGAGAAATTGCGACTGGTTATACAAGCCTATAATGACCAGGGAAAAGATCTAATTCTTACGCAATCTCCGACGATCCAGCGAGTCAGCCAGCGCCTTATTCTTTGTATTGCTTCAAGTATAACAGATTTTCAGCTATATCTTCGCGACATTTCGCAAGCGTACGTGCAATCAATAACTAAACTCAACCGAGAACTCTATGCGCGTTTACCGAAGGAACTTATTGATCAACTTGGACTTACCAGTAACACTGTTATGAAGGTTATCAAACCTCTCTATGGAATCCCTGAAGCAGAGAACCATTAGTTCAGAACCTACCATTCTTACCACTTAGAATACCTCCGGATGAGCCAATCAATATTCGACCCATGCCTACTCTACACTATGGATAGCCCTAATTCAGGAGAATTTACTGGTTTCGGCATTGTTGGACTTCAGACTGACGATACCCTCATTCTCGCAGATGCCACGTTCGCTGAATCTGAAGAGATTGAATTACAGAAGGCTCAATTTCTGGCTAAAGACCGCGAGAAGTTAACCATTGAAAAACCTTTGAAGTTCAATGGCAGCATGGTCAAGCTAGAACCTGATGGGATTACTCTTACCCAGGAGACCCAATGTATCAAACTATTACTCATTGGCAAGACAACCGCTCAGGCACCAGGCACCCTAAAGGATCGATATATTGCAGAACGCGCAAGAGATACCTATATTGTTTCTGTCTGCCAGTCAGAGGCTTCATTCGACTTATCATTCGCTGCCCAAGTGATCAACCCAAGCAAGGAAGATGCTGAATTCCTCAACAAGCGACTTAACTGGCAGCTAAAGAATACCGCCAGAGGCCTTAAATATGTCAAACTGGACCTGGAATCTCTTTAACTGCTAGTTTTTACAGACGCATCATTCGCCAACAATAAGGATCTCTTTTCTTAAATTAGCTATGTTATCGTACTAGCCGACAAAAGAAATGCCAGTAACACTACCGCCCCGAATGCCAACATTGTTCATTGGAGTTCTATCAAATGCAAACGTGTCACCCGCAGTGTTTTAGCATCAGAACTTTACGCTATGATTTACAGTTCAGATATTGCATTCGCAATAAAGTCAACTTTAGACTAAATATTGCAAGTTAACATTCCAATCGTACTCTGCATTGACTCGAAGTCATTATACGATTGCCTTGTACGGCTCGGATCTACGCAAGAGAAACGCCTAATAATTGATGTTATGTGCCTCCGACAAGCCTATAAATGCCGCCAAATTACGGATATCAAGTGGATTGATGGAAATTCTAACCCTGCCGATGCAATGACAAAAAGCAAGCCCTGCAACGCCTTAAGACAACTCATAGATACGAACCGTATCGACTTACAGGCTATTGGTTGGGTTGAACGCTCGAATTGAGCAACACCTGAGTACCGGGAAATGGGATGAATTTTGGATTCTGGAACTGCACGCTTTGTTTTTGATATCTTAACCTTCACGTTCTTACCACTTTTAAAGTAGGCCCAGTGTTGGAACTATTGTTCAGCTGATATGCCTAAGTCATGTGATTCCTCGGCATAGGCAGCTGATATATCTTCAACGAAGCGAGTAGTCTAGAATAACACTTCACTTTTACCCACCGAGCATATACCTATATTCAGTTGAATCGATAGGATATCTGCTTAGGGCAATGACCAAGTCAACCGACAATTGCATTGTCATTGTGTTTTATTGCAGTTTTATTGCATTTATACGGCATTTTTCGGGACAGTATTATCGTGATATATCGTTTGTTTTGTCGATCAGGAAGCCTCACAAATTGCATAAATATCGGCTTCTTTATCGTATAGTTAGTTGAATCAAGACCTTCATTCAGGTGAAAAACGATCATATTCCTTGGTTGAATAAACGCTTCTCGGTAGACCCACATATTTCTGCCACAGGCCGCCAGGGGGTAAGCCCTGGGCATCACTAACTAGTTCTAGTTCTAGTTCTAAGTACAAAATAAGGGATTTTAGCGTTTTAAATAGCTGCTGCAGTCAAGAATCAGAGCCTATAGATCAGGCAGAAGTTAATGCTAGCTGCAGAGGTCCTCCTAATCTCTATAACTTATCCTACTATCTCTATCTTTTTTTTGGGGGGGGGGTCTCAGTCTAGCTGAAATAATGGATACCGAGTGCATATATCTTTAAAAAAACGAGTTTCTGAAAGCTACGCAGCCAGCTCGGTTACGCCTTTTGGGATACCAAGCAGGTAAAGGATTATATCAGAAGGGGACCCTGGAGGTCGGGGCAGGTGCCTCTTTGCTATACGGCAGAAGAGAAAATGTAATATAGTCTTTTTTCGAACTGTAGCGACAGAAAAGATAGGTATTTTTATAATTGAACCGTTCGTGATAGGCTGCGAAATCTCGGTAGCCCGTACGAGCAGCTAGAATCCGTGCTAGAAGTGGTTTTAGGAGCTTTAGCTCTGCAGGGCATCTAGGGAAGTTAGTAATCTAAAGATCTTGATAGGATTGAGGGACCGTAAACTACCAATATCTTTAAAGAGCAGTTATAATGTCTGTTTTAGCCTGCCGCCTTAGCGAAACGTACGAATGTTTATTTAAAAAAGGAAGATCTATAGCAGTATCCTTCTTTGCAGCTTAATTGGCTGTCTCATTCTTAGGGATTTTCGTATGACTGGGAACCTAACAGACCCGTACAGAGCCGCCATTAGTGTATTAGAATCTCTCTCGTGTCAGCCAGATCTGGGCTAGGGCTTGGAAGGATTCGAAGACTCCTTGTAACAAGCCTGTGAAAGGTAAAAGAAGGCGCGTAACTACCTCTAGATTATTTAGACAGACCCAGAGATTGGTAACATAGCGAACGGTATCTAGTTTAAAAGCTATTTTAATTCCTGCTAGGGCTGCTTCAGTTTCGACATCAAAGACCTCTTTATTCGATTTCAGAGAGAAGGAAGACTGCTAGAATAGTATTTTAGATTAATACAGGGCATAACCGTTGTCTACTATACCGTTTTCTAGTTTTGAGCTATCTGTAAAGACCTTAATATCAGTCTGCAGGAGAGAGGCGTAGAATCTTTGAAATCTATCGGCTGCCTGTTTCTTAGATATATCTGTAGGGGCTCCAATTCGCTGTTGAACTGCTTCGCGTGCCTCTTGTAGAGTCCAGGGAACATTTTGCAATAAGGTTAGTTGTTCTGACTCAGGGAGAGCTAGCAGGCGGCATACAAAACAGCTAATCTAGAGACCAGTTCGGGTTACCTTTTTTGCTCTTCTGCGGAAAAGGTGGTAGGGGCCAAGACGGCGGAAACATACCGTACAGCTCGGACCGATTGATGAGCGATAGCTCTGATAAGGCTCGAAAATCGGATGGAAACGCTTGATTCTTTCTAATACTACAACTGCAGAGGTTCTAGAGATGCAGCGGCCCAGTGTGGGTCAGCTGACTGACTAACTACGTGCAGCCTAGCGCCGCAAGCCATACCATCAGGCTCCAACATACTTCAATCAGAGAGAAATTCGACTCGCTTTCTCACGTTCCTCCTTGTCTCTCAGCTCCACCTCAGAGTACATCCTATCCAACCAGCGGTTACAATCCTTCGCTGCTGACAAGTCTCCTAACTTCAGAGCGATAGACAATAATCTTCGCAAAGCAGCTGCTTTGGCATGGTCATTCTTCTCGAAAGGGATATTCCAACTCCTTATTTTAATTGCCTCCTGGAAAGATAACCTCGCATCGTGCAAGTCCCCTAGGATCTCTTCTGCGCCCCCGAGCAAAAAGAAGCTCAGTGCAGAGTCGAGATTTAGTTGCCGATGTTCATGGTGACCGAAGGTGGCCGCGAGGGGATAGATGCGTGTGCACAACGAGCGAACGACATTTGTCATGTCTCCGTATCTCCCATCTCTTCCCAGGCTCCTCACTGCAGTGTGCCATAAGGTGAATGTCTCGTGGCTTGCATCTCCCAGCTCAATGTCGGCGGTATGCAGGGTTTCATAGATCTGCTCTATTGGCTTCCCTTCGAAGAGATTGTAGAACTCGCCGATGTCAGCTCTGGGAAAACTGGCCTGATTGTAAGATACGTAAGCCCGGATCTCATCGCATCTAGCATTCACTTGCCACAGCCGACGACAGTACGAGTCAAAAGACTGGTACAGATGGCCGTGGGGGTCCAAAGAAAGTCTGGGTAAACATTGGAATAAGATACGACGGGGGTCATTTGGCTTCAAAATGCTCTGGGACCAGGCTAGAAGATTTTCGACCATGTGCCGCGAAATAGGACCGTGGCCACCCCTTTGAAGAAGGAGGAGAATTGCAAGTAGATCTGGAAATTGTCGATGATGATTGCTTCCGACGAGGTTCCCATGAACCTTGAATGAGTCGCGCACGATAGCCCAACCTCGTTCGGACCGACCCGCTCTGAATTGCTCCAAGGCGTCAACAATCTTGTTATGTACCTCACTGAGCTCTGATAGCCTCAGCCGAAGATCCATAGATCTGGCATAGAGACCTTGTGGATTTGGTGCCCAGATGCCCCGCTCAAATGAAGTCTCAAAATGCAGTCGCGTGTAGAAGAGAAATCGTCGGAAAGATTTAAATACTTCGGGGTCCTGCAAAATCGTGAGCCGGAAGGGGAGATCGACATAGGTGATATTCCTAGCCTCCCGTTTTTGTGGAGTACGGCGATAACGTTGCCCTCTTTTATAGTGTTGAGCAATGTCCATATTGTCCAGAAGTAGGCCGTCAGCTAGCACTAGACTCGTCCAATTGTTGACTGCTGAGCCTTTTTCACCTTTGATCTTCGATACTTCCTCCCAGCAGAGGTTCTTCGTAATTCCATGACGTTTTAAAAAGGCCTTCCATTGATCCACTCTGGCTTCTTAATTAGTATGCGCACGAGATTTCTGTGATCGAAACTATGGTCGCTCACGTTTTGCGGGGAGTCGATCGTGATGATCTCATCCGCTTTAGGCTCCATTCCTCAATGACATACAGCTGAGTAATTTCTGCGACAAGACTGTCTGACGGTTTGAGTGGTAAACATGCGTCCATATCTGCAAATATGCTCCGGAAACTCTGGACAAAGAACGTGCCCTCGTGAGCCTGGGGTTGTTTCCGTAACTTCTGCGGACTACTCCCCCGACAGTTCCCTTCGCCCCTCCGGAAAGAAAAAGAAAAAATCATAACGAATGACCATCTGCAGGTTTATCCTCCAATGCCATCGAGCCATGGAGACCAGGGGGTTTGCTGGCAGCTCTCATCGGGGTTTATACATTCAGCCTCGTCCGACAGAGCCAATGGGGCAGCATCAGCAGCGTCTGATTATCCCAAGGCCAAGGCGCCCGATCATCAACCCCGCCTCCAACATCGCCAGTGACATATTATTGGTGTGATAGAGGGAGCCACCTCATGGCCAATATACTAATGCACACTTTTGTTCGCTTCGCTCTGACTCTAGTATCAATCCGGTAAGGAGCAGGCATGTTCTCCTCTATAGTGTAGACAACGAATACCCTCTTTTCCTGTGATATCACTCGAGTCAAGGGAGGAAACTGTCTATAAAATGGCATCAAGATCCCCCGTTCAACCTAAGATTTGCCCATATCTCGCTCCGCTCAAGTTCCAACACCCGGACAAAAGAGACTTTTTTTCTTTCATCTTGCTTCTGCCAGTTTCGAAACCACAACTCACAACGCAATATGAACATCGACACCAAGTCCATGAGCCATCACGATGTCATTCAACGAGTAACCCAGTCGATTCTACGCTATGCTCTCGAAAAGTGCGTATGCGCTGAGACCCCATACGTGGATTGCAGATGCACTTACAAGGTTCTAGGAAGAACTGCAAGTTGATCATCATACTCGGACATCTACGATCGGGAAAGTCGAGCCTATTCGAGTCGCTTACCAACCGAATAGGCCATTCAGGGCATGGAATTGAGTCCGGTAAGTTCTTCTGCTGGATCATTATCCAAGATATTGCATGACTGATACGCGTGACGTGGAGTGACCAAAAACTATTCTCTCGGACGAGCAAACCTCGGAGGAAAGGTCTACCTCTTTGTCGATACCCCAGGGCTCAATGATCCGAACATCAGTAATGCGGATATCCTGAGAGAGATCGCGAAGCTTCTCGAGGTCACCAAAACTTCTGTGACATATGCCGGCATTCTCTATGTACACCCAGCGAATCAAATTTACTCAGACGAGACTGAAAAGGGCCTTAAGTTTTTGGAGGTCTTCTGCGGACTTGACTACTCCCCGTCTCTGACTTTCGTCACCACCGGGTGGGACGCATTATCGCTAAACCAGATCCCCCGCAGCGACGCATCAATCCGGCAAATGCAGACGTTCAAATGGACTGCATTTATAGAGAAGGGAGCCAAGGTCTATCATCATGGTAGACGCTATGATGGAGGTCTCCCCACACTCGAAGTGCTAGATATCGACGGTGATCGAGAACCTCGATCTCGGACAGCTCAAGGAATAATTGCTGATTTGTATCCACATGAAAAGAGCTATGCCGCACCCCTAATCATCCAAGAGCTGCGAATGGAGCTGAATCTTGAGGATACCACTGCTGGGAAGTATCTCGGCATGACCTCTCAAAAGCTTGTTTATCCTGGTACACAGAGCACCAATGGCCAACAATCTGGTGAAACAGGCAATCAATCAGCTGGGATCAGCTGGATGGATGCATTTCTCTCTGTGATGATGATACCGGTAGACATGATCCGGGGATTTGTGACTGCTCTCTGGAACTTCATTTCTCTTCTGCAAAAAGCGCTGGCCACACTTCTTATGCCACCAGTCGAAATCTCCATTCATCGTGTTTCGGCAGAGGGGGTCGAAGCGCTTGTGACCTTACCAGGGGGGCTGAGATTTATTGTCGGATACGGCCGGCGAGGACCGTATTGGAGGCGCTGGGACTCTCAAGCTGAGGGCCAAACCACTTCTGAGGCCGACGATGACAATTCCGATATTCTTGTCGAAATTCCTGATGGCCCCATGGGAAATTGGTCTAGATCATCTGATGATAACGAAAGCGAGACGAATCCGGATTATCTCGTCGTTTCGGAAGCGTTTAGGCTAGCTATGCTCAATCACGGAGACCCAGTGACACCTGAAGAGCCGCACCTTGAGGCTGGATCAACTGAGGGGCCTTGGGGCTCAAAGTGTAGCATCCTCTGATTCATAATAGCAAGTCCTCCAGATGGATTTACGTGGTGTTAGTTTTCCGGTACGGCTGTGAGCAAGGCAACCTAGTATGACTGGGAAATTGTTACTAAGGGAGAGCCTTCTCTCATTGGACTTTATGTTAATGCAAACAACTCGTGTTTGGATGCCTCCTGTTTACGTGGGACACGAAGGGTCAATGGCATTCTCTATACACAGCCCGTATCTGACGTCCTCGAAATCTTCCGAAAGATTTACATTGACCTCTGGCTTGTTGCCACTCCGATGTGGGCCCGTTCTTTTCCGGGGCGAAATAATCTTCCGTACAAGGGTTGAGAAAGGGAAGATGTCGCCTGGACTAAAGCCAGACTCATGGTGATTCCAGACATTCCATTTTTGATGGTTTCAGGAAGCTCTAGTAGAATCTTATCTTTATTTTGTATGACATTGATACTTTCTGCGGGTATCAATCAATCAATCAATCAAAATTCTATTAACCTGATGAAGCCTATCTATTGAAACGACCGGCTATGCAGGCGCTTCGCCGAATGAAGCAGAATCTCGAGCCCTTACGCCATATAAACCCACAAACGCAGTAGATAA